CGGAGTATACAAGAATAAGGGAATAACCGCGTTTCACTCACTTTCTGAGGGGTCATGCTTTCTTGAACTTTAGGTTACAGGGAACTGAAGTGGTTCACCGAAATAGACGCTCTTTGTTGTCTGTTTGAATATCAGAGATGCGCGTCTTTGTTTGGATCATTGTGAGATTTGGCCTAAGACAAATTATCCCGAGCAAGAACATTTTAGCTTTCAATAGTCCTCAGTAGTCCATGGATCATAACATGAATGTCAACCTAATTTAAAGATCACATTCAAAATATGTTGAGAGAGTAAGATACCATTAATTCGTAGCCAAATGCAGTTTAAATGAGAGTATTATCAAATATTAGAATGAGTAGACTTATTCCAATTCTTGAAACTGTAACGTTTATGACGCTTGTTTAACTGACTCCTGTTTTACCACATTAGCTTTGATTGAGAATCAGAGTGGTGAAATATCGAGATATTCTTTTCAAAAATTTCTGCTAACAGCATCACATTCCAAACAATGCCTTCACATGAAGAAAAGTTTATTTTTATTCCAAACATCGTCAATCAATGTCAGTTTAGACAAGTACATGATATTACACGCGCGTACGTTAGTATATCAACGCCTTTTTATTTCTGCAGACCCATCAGTTCAAACAACATGTCAATTTTGCGTTGACTGGACGAACTGATTGAAATTTGGAGGTATCCTCCGAGCAATTAATTAGTCAAAAATATTTCTGAGCCCAAGTTAGGAATCAAACCTACCGCACAATCGGCATCGAGACCTGCACGTATTTAGATGAGAGTAACAAAAAGGGTAGAAGTATAATAGATGACGGTTCGAGACCATTATGTAAAAATGTTCTCAAACACCCTATCTACTATACTACTAACCACAAAATGGTTATTACTTGATGATAGATACATATTAAAACAATACTTGGATATCCACGACAAAAGAACTCTCGGAAACACTTTCCACGGATTTACGTCATTAGACAAACAGGAACTTGGAGACTCATCGATTCTCGTAAACTTCTGTCTCACACGCGTTTTTTGAGTTTAGAAATGATTTAGCAAAACTTAAGGAGATGATTAAAAACAAAACTTGGAATGCGTGTGCGTGGAACTGCGCTTGAGAAGCCTTTGTTTTTTCCTTTTCTCCAATGTTGTAATAGGACAGTTGAAATGAAACGGTGTTTTTTAACTCTGCCCACAGGGTAGTATTGTTTTATCGTTTAATCAGTCGCCAACCGCCATTTTGTACTTTCAACGACGCTTGAAATTTTTTTTTTAAATTATGTAAAGTCTCTCGAAAAATATCTTATTTCAGTTGGTTGCACATATCAGGATTGAGCGCCGTGTTAAAAATTGGCATCTAGCGAGAATTTTCATTATAGGTGTTTTTTGGCTTATCTTGACGTTGAAAATGAATAATATATTATAATAAGCCATTCAGTAAAAATTCTGATAAGACAGTCGATCATTTCTTATTCCTTTTGGCGGTCTTATTTTAACACGTTCGACATCTCTTTTTCTTAGATGTGACTTAAGGTGTAAAGATGTAGTACTTTTCATCCTCCCCACTGAGTTTATAATCAGGAAACTTATACGAATAGCACGTAGCTCTCTTGGAGGCGGTACCTAGGGTACGCCCTTTCTCCTCCGAATTTTCTGTTTATTCTGTCGTTATGTAACAGTCTTCGAGGACTATTTTCTCTTAGGATATCTCCTCGACTATGATTTTGATTCTGTTAGTAAGAAATTTTTGGGCACAGAATTAGCACAGTTGAAATAGGACGGTTGGAATGAAACGGTGTTTTTCAACTCTGCCCTCAGGGTAGTCTTGTTTTATCGTTTAATCAGTCGCCAACCGTCATTTTGTGCTTCCGACGACCCTTTTAATTTTGTTTTGAATTATGTGAAGTCTCTCGGAAAATAACTTATTTCAGTTGGTTGCACATATCAGGATTGAGCGCCGTGTTAATAGACAAAATTGGCATCTAGCAAGAATTTTCATTACAGGTGTTTTTTGGCTTATCTAGACGTTGAAAATGAATAATATATTACCATAAGCCATTCAGTAAAAATTCTGATAAGCCAGTCGATCATTTCTTATTCCTTTTGGCGGTCTTATTTTAACACGTTCGACATCTCTTTTTCTTAGATGTGACTTAAGGTGTAAATATGTAGTACTTTTCATCCTCCCCACTGAGTTTATAATCAGGAAACTTATACGAATAGCACGTAGCTCTCTTGGAGGCGGTACCTAGGATACGCCCTTTCTCCTCCAAATTTTCTGTTTATTCGGTCTTTATATAACAGTCTTCGAGGACTATTTTCTCTTAGGATTTCTTCTCAACTATGATTTTGGTTCTGTTAGTAAGTTTATTGTAATTTTTATATTGTCAATCTTGTTTTTGTTTTGCCCGAACTTGACCGTAAGACTAAAAAAATTTAAGTTAGAAAATCCTTTTGTACAGCGTAAACATCTCGAAGGTGCCTACTTAGTATGCAAACTCTGCTCTGCGTGGCTTAACGTGATTCGCTAGTCAAGTGTAAAAGGATAACGAAGGTTGGAGATTGACAGCTCCGTAAGCGTCAGCTTTATAGTCGGTGACCCACACTTTCCATGAAAGATTTGAGCTAGTCCCGAAGTAATAAGTTGAATAAAAGAAAGAGAAGAATAAAGAAACCTTCAACTGTATAAAGCTGGAAACCACAGGATAAGCTGGAAACCACTCTGCTTCGCGTCGTGGTTTCCTACGCTTATCTCGTGTTCTCCCAACCTCCCGCGTGTTTACATCAGGCTATGTAAACACGGAAACCATTTTACATTTCTTCAATGTAATATAGAAATATATATATGTATATATCTAAGATAACCTTTAAAATCCTACAGCACTTATTCAAGCCAATCTCATTCATTTTGGCCTAGTGGTTAGACGGTTGGGTTAGCGCACAATTGACAATTGTGTTACTAAAAATGGACCAAATAGGTTCGCTCGACTTATCAATTTCATTCGGTAGAATTTGTTAGGCTTGATGACAGCGCAATGTTTAGATCATCCAGAAAATCTCCTAGAAAACTAAAGCTTAAATTCCCGGCTTGGGCCCAGAGAAGCTAGAGTAGGTTTCTATGTGATCGATGTTCTATCTCATATACAAATATATATGGTAAATGTAAATGAATGTGGGTAGAGTCTACCTTGGCGTAAAGTGCTCAATGCTGTGGTAGCAGAGCTAAGTATACATAAGTTAAAGAATTTAAGAGAACGCATCGATTCTCTGTGACTCTGAGTTTTGCGCTTAAGCGCTCGTCAGACAGAACTTTATTCAATGAAAAACATACCTCCTTATATACAAATTAGATAAGTAGCTAATTTATTCACTGGTGTGATGATCTAATCTACGTGTGGAATAAAGATTCTATAGAGCCATAGAGGGCAGTGGTTTTTTTTCCTGCAGTTACAGTTGCTTTCCGTGGAGGGTGTCTCGCTTGTCTCGAGGATTTTTCTGATGTGTTTCTTAATTATGGTTTGTAGGTTTTCTGTATAGCTACAACAAACTTTTATTTTGTTCCTGTTGAAAATCTTGTTGTGCCGGTGATTTTTCGGAAAATGTTTACTGACGAAGTTAAGAAACTCTCTGCCGATGATGCCGTTTGATTAAACCAAATTATGTTCCTTTGTATGTTTAGCTACTTATCTAATTTGTACATAAGGAGGTATGTTTTTCATTGAATAAAGTTCTGTCTGACGAGTGCTTAGGTGCGAAACTCAGAGTCACAGAGAATCGATGCGTCCTCTTTAATTCTTTAACTTATAGTATATATATATATATATATATATATAAAATCCTACAGCAATTATTCAATCCAATCTCATCAATTTTGGCCTAGTGTTTAAAGTGTCTTTAAACGGTTGGGTTAGCGGCAAAAAACGTGCTGATGCAGTAACTTCAGTGGCTCTAACGTTACGGTATTTTATGGGTTGTTATAATTGACAGAGATTAACGATGCCAAAATTGACAATTGTGTTACTAAAAATGGACCAAGCAGGTTCCCTTGAGGCTAGAATGTGTCCTCCAGGTGGTGTGTTGTGTGGAATATGATGTTTTTAATAAGAACAGTTGAAAGCAAAACACCTAAGCCCTTCACACACTTTCAGTGCTTTATTTCTACATATCAGAAAATCAACGAAGTGGTAATGTACACATCGAGGATTAAGTTCTCTATAATCGCACTTTCGGTAAACCATGGTATGGAATACCTTTCGCTCCAAATGTGAGTTAAGAAACCTTTGGTTCGTAATTATTATTAAAAATGCCATCGCAAATGCTTGATTAAGTGATTAAATGCTTCGGTTTGAAAATACACTATCAATTATTAGATATGCTTGTGGCACAAAAAGATTTGCATAAAAAAGGTTTTTTCCACATATTATTGGACTGTTTTCAAATACAAGAATAATTTCACGAAACATTCGAAAAAACAACTGGTGTTTGAAAAACTTCCAAACCTCGAGAACTAAAACCTTGAACAAAACTTCCCGCTGAGGACGCTTAGCAAGGACAAACCCAAACACGACTATCGATGACGATTATCGTACAAAAATTAAGGCCTATCACAACGGTTGAGGACCAATCACTCAAATGGTGAATATAAATGTGTGGTCTTGCTGCAGCACATAACAAACCAAGGCTCACAAAACTCCATAAGGATTCCAGGATAATCTTGCATGCCTAAATTATTCACAAAATCTAAGCCCGCAGAACATTCCTAATTTAAATAATTGCTAAACACTTCTAAATTTAGCTAAAATGATAACCTTTGATAAAAAAAAAAAATGATAACTTTTGATAAAAAAAAAATGATAACCTTTGATAAAAAAAAAAAATCAATTTCATTATTACAAAAAGACTTTTCCTAAGAGGAAAGAAAGAGAATTGTTATGTTCATACTGAACATTGATAAAATCAAGCTGTTCATCAAAATCCTTACTAGTTGCTTAGATTGCTGGATGCACGGTTGCAATTTTCGATTTAACCGGAATGTTTTCGGTATCTAGACCTGGCATTTGACCTCTCGTATCGAACTTGATATTTACTTCAGGGCGAAATATCAGTAGATACGTGGACCCACCAAAGTGAAACATACCGAGCTGGTCACCTTTCTTCACTTTATCCTTTTCTTCAACGGTGATTTCGTTGGAAGACACCTCTGACATACCGATTGATACGAAGCACATTAAGCCAATATCAGGATTGTCAGCTTGAATGTAGATAATACCTCTGGCAGCTACTTGGGCTATGTATCCTCGTGACATGTTGGGCGATGCAGGGTCATCCTGAATGTCGTGGGTTGCAGAATAATAAGAACCATCCACGAGTTCTGTCTTGTAAATGGTACCGGACACAGGACTGTGAAATCGGTGATAACTGGTGGCCCTTAGGAACGCTTGGTAGACGGTTCCACCATGAAATTGCTTGGCAAGGTCACTCATGTTCAGGATGAAGTCCAATGAGTACCGTTGGTGCTTTATCCAGAAGAAGTCCCTGTGTTTCACGGCTGTAGAGATCTGATATGGCGCCGACTCACAAGCATTCGCAACAATGGAATCGTCGTCCGGAGATTCTACTGGACGAATGCCATCACGAAACTCTCTGGTGAAGAAATCATCCCATGATGTAAAACCATAATGTTTTTCATTAGGTTTACATTTAAACTCTTGGTCGAAGTTTGGCATTGCTTGCATTGCATCTTCACCAAACCAACCATGACGAGGATTTTCATTCAACACGTAACAAGAAGCAGAACTGGAAAGAAACTTTCCCCAATAGTTGAGAATACTTTTGAACAACGTGTTGACTTTGTCGTCGAGGAAAGCAGCAAATCCAGCAGTCGTAGCCATCGGCCAGTTCAGGATTGCGTTGATGGGGAAACTAACCAAACCAGCTTTGCTGTACTCTGGAGCTGTTGTCATGATGTAGTCAATTAATATAATCATCAATTGCCAGCTAGAAATCTTTGTCCTTTCCGAAATATGTGGGAGCTCAGTGTACTGTTGCTGGAACATCTGATGGAAGAACATGTAGATTTTGGGGTCGGATATGATAGCTTTCAATAATTCTCGAACCGGTGGATGGAGACCGAGGTCTTCTTCTTTGCCGTTAGCAGCTACCGGCTGAGTTTCAGCTCTAGCTGTCTCTTCATCTTCAGCTGGTGGATGAAGAACCAGCAATAACTCTAACTTATCTTTGGATTTAATTTTGACTTCTGTTATCAAGTTGGCTAACCATTTGTCAAGAACTTTCTGGTCAGAAGGAATCCATTGACCAACACCATAAGTATTGGTGGTTCGCTGCCCGGAAAGAGTCCGTTGAACATGGCCATAAAGTTTGCTGCCCATGATTGTGTTGCAAGTAGTTTGTGGGTCGTTGTTATGTTGATTAGCTTTAAACCTCACAGGAGTTACGTAACCCAGAACTGTCATGTTCGTTCAAAACCGCATTTTTGTAATTTTCTTGTCAGAGGGGGGCATTGGGGCCTATTAGAAACCACAAAACCGTGGAAAAAATTATCCAAAACTGAAAAACCGATAAAAAATTCGATAAAAACGGAAAAATGCATGCAAAACTGTCAAAACCGATACATTTTCACATCCCAGTAATTAAAACCCTGATCGATCCGATACAGTGGTGACAAGTGGAACATACAGAGTAAACTACACTAATTTAATTATAGGATTTATGAATGCCATGGACTTGGCATTCGTATCTTCTAATAACTGCTTAAATTAACAGCTTCTCTCTCGAGGACCTCGGGCGTTGTCTCTGCGGACTCAGTAGCTGGTAATGGAGCCCAGTTAGATTAAGGAAATTCGCACAAAAGTCCTTTATAGGATTGCAATTTTGCAGTCGCAAATAGCTATAGCTGTGGAAAGTTTCATCGAAAATCCCTAATCTAACATTTCCGTTTGCGAACTAAGACCTGAAAGTTTGTAGATTCTATTGGAATGTTGAATCAATCAGTCACGTGTGGCCTGTAACTTGGTCATCAACCTCGATGTGGCATTGATAAAGAAACCCTGGCAATGTTCCGCGCTTAGCCGTACCCTTCCCCCCTGGGGATCCCTGCGATATTTAAATTTAATAACATTTGCGTTTAGCTGCTATTCAAGATCAGTGGAGGAGCGTAATTGTCGCTCAGATCGTAGAGAAACCGGAACCCAAATAGGTCAAATAGGAAAAACCGAAAACCGCATCGGATATCAAGTCCGAAAACCCGTTAATATTTTTCGCGAAAACCGACAACCGGATACTAAAAAAACGAAAAATCCGCAAACCGCAATGAACACCAAAACCTAGAAACTGAAGTTTTTTTGGCACAAAAACCGATCTAAAAAATAGCCAAAACCGCAAAACCGTAAATTCCAATGCCCCTCTCTTGTCAGTTACAGTTTAGTCGTTGTGAATTGGCGATCAGATCTTGGGAGTTAAAGTGTTAATAACTGCTGGGTCCTTCAGTGACATATTCACCTGTTGTGATGTTAGAGGAAAATATTCTATGGAGACATCAACATTTCAGTTAAAGTTTCATGGTGCTTCAGAACAGTTGCTGGCCATGCTGGGTAACCATTTGAGAATCCAAGTTCTGCATCGCTAGCTTGGGATGTATTCATAGAGGGGATGATATCGAAGATTTCAAAAACCTACAAAAATTTGATTTCAAAGTGAATCAGAGGACTGGATCTCAGCTTAATGACATTTCGCCAAATAATGTTGTGGCTATCTGATTTTGGCAGTCTTTGAGGGAGACGCTCAGTGAGCCCTAAAAAAAAGCTTTTCCATACTTAAGATACCACTGGAGAGTTTTACGATAATAAGTCCACTTGGTGTCAATAAATGTCTGAGAAAGGGGTGGCTCTTTACTTAGAATACCTAGAGAAACATATATAACTTTGTATTGGCTTGGATATTTTATGGAACAATTGTAAAACTTAGGGGTTGTTCACGTCACCCTTGGCCCCACACCCAGCCTAGCATATCCATCCCAGCATAATGTTTAGTACATGTGGGTAGCATCCTACAAAATCATCTCCTTTCCAAAATTTCTGGTGTTGTTAGCTGGTGTTTTGGGTCGAGGCATTGTCCCCAACTAACCCTGAAACATTGGTAATATCATGTTCATTTTTTTATAACATGGTTATCTATATCAGACTGGTACTTCCAGAACCGCTCGCTGTTAGGCTTTTTGCAATGACGTAAGCCCTTGGCTTGCTCTCTGTTGGCACCAGGTGTAAATGCCCCCATTTGCCTCTCTTCGCAACCTATGTGGGAGAGTCATCGCTCCGGAGATGAAAATCATACTTGTAGTTTGAAAAGTGCTTGCGTGAAATCAGTTTATCGGCTTCACCTGAGAGAACATTCCAGTCAGAAAGAGTAGTTAGTGAGACAGCCAAGTTTGTTGGAGGGCTACAATCAAGCAAAATATTGAAAATCAGATGTAATGCGACAGGTGTCTTTTGATTAGATAACAAACACGCAACCTATGTGGGAGAGTCATCGCTCCAGAGATGAAAATCATACTTGTAGTTTGAAAAGTGCTTGCGTGAAATCAGTTTATCGGCTTCACCTGAGAGAACATTCCAGTCAGAAAGTGTAGTTAGTGAGACAGCCAAGTTTGTTGGAGGGCTACAATCAAGCAAAATATTGAAAATAAGATGTAATGCGACAGGTGTCCTTTGATTAAATAACAAACATGCATGTTGCATTTATCTAAAACAAGCCATAAAAATTAAGGTTCTTTGATTGTGTTCATTGCGACTATATGCAAAAGTCTCCCCTTGTCGACAATTTCACTGTTCCCTTGCAATTTCTGTTTCGGTTTTGTGGAAGCAGATCTTGTCTCCCTTAGCTTGTTGCTGACTTCTTTTTCCTTTTTTTCAATAGATGTCAGAATTTTTGGACACTTTTATAATGACGAGTTTGAAGCCTCAGCGTGTCCTTTTTCAATTGGATGTTCCTTTTACAAATACTGAAATTATGAAAAGGTGACATTATTTAAACTAGTTAAATACAACTGATTTCACATGATAGAGTACTGAAAAAAAAGAAACAACAAAGTAAAGATGTCCTACTAATATATTTTAGGTATATCCAGCATGTGGAATTAAAATTTGGCGTAAAATTGTTATCACATCTGTAAGGGATTTGTCAGAGGGTCTGAACGGGGTTGACTGACAACTCACAAACACCAGAAATGTTAACAGACAACTGACATTTGAAGTTAGATTTACTGATAACTGACAAAAGGCTTTTGCTATTGTTATCCGTTTGAATTTCACTGAAAATAACTTTTTGGTTGAAATATTATTACTTTCATCTTTAAGTTTAATATTCACGTTTTTTAGAATTGATTTCAGGCCAAATAAATCGCACTTAGTTTTCCATCATGTCTGTTAGTATTAATCATTAACTATTTTACCTCAATACTATCTGTACCATGATTCTGGGTTTGTAAGGTACATTGGAAGTTTTCATAAACGAGTGAATTGAAATTTTGGCATTAATTTTCATGTAAGAAATTGAAATCGTCATCAGCGCAGTTGATAATACCAAATTACCTTGGATCTACCATAATTGTTGTCCAGAGACGGAAAGAGCGGGCGAAATGGTGAGAAGTGTTCCAAAATCTTTTTCCCTTTGCATTACGTTATTGGATCATATGTATTGATCTATAGTGTGATTATAACTTCCATCGCTGTTTTATTTCTAATATTTACTTATTTTTTAAGCGAAGAAATGCGAAACAGGCGCTTGCGTTCGTGTTCGACCAATCCCCTGATTTCGTTCACCTTCTGGACAAGGACTAGGCAAAGCTCTGCCGATGCTGAAAAAGATGTTTTTTTTTCGTCTTTTCACGATCTTGAGTCATAGAAAAAAATTTGAATCCCTATGAGGAATCGAACCTTAGACCTTCGGAGTCTGCGTTCTGACACCATATCACTGTGCTACAGAGTCTTTACAGAAAGCTAACTCACTACTGGGTTCATAAATAACGAGCGTCCCGCGATACTGGTAATGTCGTTTACACCTACAATATCGGAAACCAAGGTGTTGCTTGAAGCTATTCATTAATTATCGTTAAAGGTCTTGGCCGGAATTCCACTTCAATACACTTTTTCAGAAAAACCTGAATAGGTCTGAATATGAAGATTTTAGATATATGAAAATTCACATATTTGCACTGCGGTGGAAAGATGAAATTAAGAGATCCTCGCAGCTAAGAAACACTACTGAAACGAGTAGTTGCAAATATGTGAATTTTCATATATCTAAAATCTTCATTCACTTGGATGTTTATTTGGACCCAATTCATTGACCAGCTCCCAGTTGGCTTGTTAGCTCAATTGGTAGAGCGCTGCACCGGTATCGCAGAGGTCATGGGTTCAAATCCCGTACGGGCCTGAAAATTTTTTCAGGTCCTATTAACAACTACTCGTTTCAGTAGTGTTTCTTAGCTGCGAGGATCTCTTAATTTCAGGTCTGAATATTTTCTAATCGTATTAATAAAAAATATCTTCCTGATAACCGTCAACCGTTGGAGGCACAAATATGTATACGTCAACCGTCAGTGGCCGTAAAGTATAACCGTCAAAATCGAAAAAAAAAAGAAAAAAACGTGTATCTTCAGAACCATCCCCTATTGAGGACCTTTTCCATCGGTTTACCGGATTTAAAACCCGCGCAGAATGCTGGGAGATTACGAGAAGAGTTTGTAAATAGCAAGCCAGAGGTGTTTTCCCAATATTACGCCGGTAAACCAATAGCAAGTTCGCTTACAAGGTTGCTTTACACGGTTTACCGCTGCATTAAACGATAGGTTTTTCACCGATTAGGGCGCTCGTATTATCTCAGTTATTGTATAAGTAGCGGTGGTCGGTCTGGTTAGAACTCCGCCAGTCAAATTTTTAACGTTCGGTTTTATTCCATCCTTCACGTTCCCATCAATTTTGTATTAATTTTTACATGTAGTTTAAAAATCGACCCAAATATTTTCAAATGTTGTACTATGTGAAAAACAATTGTACATTACAATTTTGACTGGTCTGGTTTTGAATCTTGTTAAATCTTTTTTCTCAAACAGGTGAAATGGTAGATAATTAAATTGGCGTAAAAAAAAGTTTACTTACACTTAATTGAAAAAAATGGTATAAGCTGAATGGGGATTGATTACATTGCGGTCTTCTACCCGATTTTTATGCGAAGCCACTCTTCTGTAATTACCTCTGTAACGTTAATTTTTTTTTATGTTTTTATAATTCGCTTTCTCACTTTAACTCCTTATCACGTACATAGTTTGTTTCGCAAATCGTAATATAGGCCGTTTAGTTTTCTCCACTTAAGTTTCGTCTCCACGTTGTGACGGTAGGCTTAAGGTCTACTGACTTAAGACGCATTCTGGAAGGCTGAAAAGACAACAATATCTCAATTTGTAGTACAGCTTCCTTAAGCGATGATAATGTGTGACGTTCGGCATTAAAAGAACCAACCTTGCTTCTTTCAGTGTCAGTCTTTCAGCGTCGCGTTTAATCTCCTTTCCATTAAACTTTCCTTTATTTTCACATTATTAGGAAAATACGAAAGAAGCCGGAACCTTTTCTAAGCTTGAAAAGCTAAAAGCACAGTGATGGTAGACACAATTTCATTAATTACACGTACGTCAATAATAAGAAAGAAAGCGTGTGCTGTCCATCTAATTCTGTATGAAATAAAACATTAGCTTTCGAGGCAGCCAAGTCACATTTTAGTCTCGCCACTGATCATCGAAGCGAAAGGATTGTCGAGCCATTTGGAAAATAGCGACAGATCAGTCTTCAAACGTCTTCAAGCTTATTTTGGAACGAGGTGGTTGACTAGTTACTACAACCCGGCTTACCGGTTATTCACGCGGCTCTTTGCCAGACAGCTTACCTTTAAAGGCCTTTTTGACATACTGTTTTTTTCCGTTTCTTTTCTCTTAGCTGAACAGACTTCCTGTTCTTTTTTTTCCTTTTTATGCGGTTTCATAAAGAACCACTGAAGTTTATGCTTTATTTAACAGATTGCAGCGGCTTGACAGTGCCGAAAAATCCAGCCTAAGTGTTCCGATCCTGTCATTTGTAAGTCTTGTTAATTTTGTTGTCCTCGACCGTCGTTGCTTTTTTGTTTTTCTCTTTTTTTTTTCCTTTTTTTTTTCATTTTTGTCCTCTAAGGAGCTAAAGGTTACTTTGATATCGAGATTTCTCTCCTTTGAAATAATGTGCTTTTAACTGCATGGTGATATCCAAGCGGATATCTTAGTGTTCATTCAGCGGTAATGCTCTAAGGATTTAGGGGTCAAAAGGATTGTTAGGCACAACAATCTTTAGTCGGTGTTCAGTAGCGTCAGGGGTAATTGACTTGAAAAAGAAGGAAACATGTAAGTATAGTGTGCTAGAGTAGAAAAAGACACAACAGAGCTAAAAACGAATCAAAAAGTGATGAAAGTATTTAGGGATTTAGAGGATTAACTTGGATTCAAAATGACAACATTGACAACAAATTTTTTCCCTATTTTTAGCAACGTTCTTAACAACATACAGATTTCTATTTTTTTGCTTCGTTAATGGATTTGTGTAACGTCTTTGCTATCTTTTGTTAATTTATCGATCAGGGAAGAGGTTGCCAAAAAATATATTCGAAAAGACCCTTATTTTGAACGAGTTCGTGCTACATCAAACAACAACCAGCAGGCAAAGAACTAACTCAATATTTCGAAGATTTAAGGTGGCTCTGAACTTAATCTACATTTTTTGTCAAGATCATGCAAAAAGAGGAAAGTTGTCTTAAATCCTCCAGGCATGGGTAACATTTTTAAAAATATACCTGTAAAGGGGCAAAAATACAACTTAGCATGAATTGAATTCGATTTATTAGAAGAAAAATGTATCGATTAATTCGCACATATGTCAGTGATAATCCTTGATTAAATTCAGATTCGTCTGTTTTGCAAGTCGATGTGAACCTATCACAAGATCTCCTTCTGTAGACTCACCTACCTACTGGAAGAGGCAACTTCAGATTGGAACTTAAGAAAATACGTCAGGACATAAGAAGCCAAAAGTGGTAAAACAATCTTATTTGTAGCGCTGTTTGTAATTATATTTTCAAAAGCAAACTTTTCCTCATGATTAAGGAACTAAAACAAAAAGCAAAATATATGCTCGGTCCTAGAATATTCCTTGAGACTGAAGACTTTTGTTATCGCTCGCTATTTAATTATGACGCCAGAGCGCCAGTATAATCACTTTTTCATCAAATAACTTTTTATATTTTTTAGTTGAACTACTTTCGAAGCCATTAAAAGACTGTTTTGCGTGCGAATCTGATATAAAGGAGAGGATAATGACGTGATCTGTTCTCTGTGACGCTGAAATATTTCAAAATGATTATGAACACTAATGCACACTGTTCTTGATGTTTTTTATGCCACAAGAAAGATGACTTCCGGAGAATTATTTTTTTTGTTTGGCTTCTTAAATTTTCATCCGTTTAATGGTCAACGGAAATTATCTTCGCCTACTTCATAAAAAGTTGAACCAAATGATTAAAAAAAACAAAATAAAAAAACCACACCACTTGGCTTTCTGAAACGTTTTTCACAAATATCTTCTTAATTTATGTCTGGCCTCGGGGTAAGAAATTAACTTTCCTACGCAGGCGCCAAGTGGCAACCAGACATTGTTTTTGCCGTCTTCAGAAGAAATATTCCAGTTCGTTAAATTTTTGCAATTTTGCTTGTAACATATTCCTACTCGTGGGTATTGATGAACGATCTTCACTTGGGTGGAAAGAAGCGCACCGAAAAAAGACGAAGAGAGAGAAAAAAGATGTGCCTTCCGTTCCTTGAGCGCTGGTTCACATGAAGAATAAGCTGCGTTAAAAATTTAAATTCTGGTCGCCCACATCCAGTAATTTTTATTCGCGCATTAGCGACTTAGTGGTCGCAAATTCAGACCAACAAGTTTCATTCACTATTTGCAAACGCAGACATTGAATTTCAACACTTCTCTCCTTTCGTTCCTTGAGCGCTGGCTCACCCGAAGAATAAGTTGCATTAAAATTTAAATTCTGGTCGCCCACATGCAGTAACTTTTAGTCGCGCGTTAGCGACTTAGTGGTCGCAAATTCAGACCAACAAGTTTCATTCACTATTTGCAAACGCAGACATTGAATTTCAACACTTCTCTCCTTTCGTTCCTTGAGCGCCGGCTCACCCGAAGAATAAGTTGCATTAAAATTTAAATTCTGGTCGCCCACATGCAGTAACTTTTAGTCGCGCGTTAGCGACTTAGTGGTCGCAAATTCAGACCATCAAGTTTTATTCACTATTTGCAAACAAAAATATGGAAGTTCAACACTTCTCTTCTTTCACCAGCTATATTTTCCTTCTCATTTTTAATTTGCGATGTCCAGAGACTGTGGAAGTGAGTTCTCACAAACGTATGACTCACTGAGGAAAAAGGAAATTAAAGTTTTCGCAAAAATTCATTTTAATATCAAGGTAAATAAGTTGAAATAGAGTTTTAAGTCGCTGAGGAACGACGTCAGGAAAAAATATATTTTGGAAAAAAAATTTCATTGTACGTTATTGTCCAATTTTTAACTTTTTTTAAAATTTCAGTCTATATTCTGCACTGAGGACTGAAACGGTACAAAATATTAATCCACTAATTGTTGGAACACACAAATTTCAGAGAGAATGAAATTTATCAGCCCAGCTGGTTGCCTGAACACATGCATTCAGGCTATTTAAGATGTAGATTTCGTGTGAATGGTGGGATGGTCAAACACAAATTTTAATGCTTTTCTAGAAGGAGACCTTCCTCTGTTTTTCAAAATAACCATTCAGTTTCCTGCAGGGTATTATTGAATAGGCTGTGTCTGTTAATGTATTTGCCAGAAGGCTTTTATGATGAGCACACATAGTTATGGGGTTTCGCCGCCTAACAGGACACGCTACCTCGATCTGTAATAAGACTTGTTCTTACATGAATCTTATGGAACGAGCCCTTACTGAGATTAAAAACTAGATGTTTTCTATCTAAAATTTGAAGAGAGGTTTAATTACTTGCATCCAGTTTGGTTTTAGGTAATCATTACGGACAGATCTACAAAGCGAATGATTTTTTTTATTCCACCACATGGACGATCCATTTGTTTGGATATGAAATGAAACATTACCTTCGTCTGAACGCTGCCAAGTCACACTGCCCCCGCTCGGAACTTACAATTGTATCTGTTAGCGACTGACAGTCACTACCTGCGATGGACTGGTTCTGTTTTACTGATATCATACCCTAAACTTCCTTGTTGTGATTTATAATTTTAATTGTAAACTCTGCGTTCGATTGTAAATCGCAATGAAATATAAAGAAACAACGTATTGGCTTCTCATTCGCAGGAATTGAATATACCTGTAGCTATTTTATTTTCGCGCAATAGCGTTAATCTAATCACTTTTTGAACAATTTAAACTGAGGAATATTCAGAGGCAAACGGATAACTCGCTATCAAGCCACACAAAAAATGTATTGTACTATCCACGGGGTAGAGATTTATCCAGTGGATAGCAATAGCCACCGTTCAAATAACCCGGTCAGGCTTTTAAAAGTTATTTATTTTTTTCGAGTGACTATAGGATGTAATTGTGTTCTCGATCTATAGTTCTTTCCTTTACGTGGCAAACAACTCAGTAACCTGGCCGCACAAGTCCCAATAGCGAGAATGACATGTCAAAGGCTCTCAGACAGCCGTTGCCCTGTTTATCGCCAAAACACATGAGACCGAAATTGAGGAGGGGTTAGACTCCATTACGTCGACGATAGGCAGACAGGATGCGAGGAAAGTTTCAACAGAGGGGTGTCCATAGTCTTATTCGAGGACAATTTTCGAAAGGTTAGGTTACTCTTTGTTATTCTCAATAGTGGACAGTGCCATTAATTTTATGTATATTTTTTTTAGTGGCAGGGATAAAAATCACAAGTTTTATAGAGAATTCCTCTCATTCAGAGGATGTTTTTCGTGTCAAATTCAGAAATTTGCGTGTTTTGCGATCCAGAGTTCTTCCACCCCCTTTGTTGGAAATTTTAGTTAGATATCCACATTTCATAATAGATTTCACGCAAATTTTGACGGTAATTGGAATGTTGTTTATCAATTTCCTATATGAAGAACAGTTTCAGAAACATCAGGGGGGAATAATTGTGCCGTTAAAATCTTCAATTTGTCATTGTTTTAATTGTAAATTGTACACGCTCACTTCATTAGGAGAAAGATCGGAAGAACAATTCAAATTTCAAGACTTTTCTAAAAGTTGTTCGTGAACATTTCATCAAGCAACTTTGCCAGTGTTCAATTTGCAGAAGCAAATATAGATGCAGTTTTAAGTGCAGCATTTTTTTCCTCCACTGAGTGTATTTTCGTTCTCTTTCTGTGCAAATTAAGGTATTAATGTAGTAATGAAAAACTTGTAAAAATGAAACCTATTTTCACGAATCTCGTCTTGCATGCGTCGAAAATAATTGGTTTGGCAAACAAATCCATATTCAATGATCAATTTGATCAGGGTATTAATGTAGTAATGAAAAACTTGTAAAAATGAAACTTATTTTCACGAATCTCATCTTGAACGCGTCGAAAATAATTGGTTTGGCAAACAAATCCATATTCAATGATCAATTTGATCAGGGTATTAATGTAGTAATGAAAAACTTGTAAAAATGAAACTTATTTTCACGAATCTCATCTTGCACGCGTCGAAAATAATTGGTTTGGCAAACAAATCCATATTTAATGATCGATTTGATCAGGGTATTAATGAAGTAATGAAAAACATGTAAAAATGAAACCTATTTTCACGAATCTCGTCTTGCATGCGTCGAAAATAATTGGTTTGGCAAACAAATCCATATTTAATGATCGATTTGAATTTAAGTTTATGGATTAGGATTAATAACAACGGATGATCGAATCAGAAACGATTTTTGGGGGAAGTTTTCTTGGATTTCGTAGATATGTTGAATTTTAAATGCACCGATATGTCTGATTTTATGACCTTTTGACCGAAGACTTTAACTTACACGAGTTCGGTTCACTTATTGTCATAATAATGAAAAAAAAAAGTTTCACTTATTGTCATAATAATGAAGACAAAGGTGGATTTCACACATGTGAAGATCATGTTCCATGTAGCTGACTATGTCACTGTCAATAATTTAGATGAAAAATTCATGGGAATGAAAGGGGTTTGCCATTAAAATTTTCAGTAAAATTAACCGAAATCTGAAATAATGGAAGATAAAGAAAATTTCTTTAATTGGATGTTTCATTCAGAATAAACAGATAACCGGTCTGAGTTTTAAATCCGCAGGCTGATTTCCAATCTATTGCTTTCCCTTCGATATCTGAAATCATAAATACAAGTGATAATTTAATTACTTTCATTTTTTGCCGATGATCAGGATGCTTTATTTTCCAGCACTTCAACAGATTTTTACGTTAAAAGGGAAAGGATGGAACTAGGAGAAGCTTGTTTTTAAAAAAGCTGAACTCATAACATAAGAAACAGCTTTTTCCAAGGCCAGTTTTGCCACATATCCTATTTGTCATTAGCTCGTTAGTTTGCCGCTTGAAATTAAGATCGGAAGAAATGATCTGGGGAAGTTTATGAATGCAACACAAATTACCCCTGAGGGAAAGTGACCAAAACTAAACTCAAGCAACGATTCCGCACACACAAGAAAAAGTTCAAGTGGCTAAGTGAAACGTGCATTTTCCACGATTGAAACTGGCCAAAGACGAAGAAATCATTGATAATCAAAATCTGGAAAGGGCTGGCAGATATAATATGTGCATGAATCCAATGTAGCTACCGTAAGCTTTTGATTCAAACTAATGAAAGTTTGTAAAAATAAGCTGTCATTTTTTGAAATTGCTCGTCGAAAATCTGTTATCGAGATAAAGATTGTTTACTGTTTTGACTAATCAGTGTGTAGTTCTCGGAATCTGATTGGTCATTGACTGTGTTGTCACACGCTCAATGGTTGACAGACTACATTAATTTATATTTTTCTTTCCGTTATGAAATTAAGATTTATCGCAACTCTCGGTAAATTGAGAAACACCGTAAGAAGAGCAGTCATCAAAATGGACTTCTTGGTCTCTATGTCGCTGCTACTATTCTTTTTGTGTCACTGAGTGTATTTTTTCTTGTTTGCCCAAATCACTTAGGTAAGTTAGTTTGATTCTCGTATTTCCCAAACCATACCCCAGCTGTCGCTCTCCTATCATCTCCCTCGATGGAGCCGAAATAAAACGGCGCTAAAAGTGATTTAAATCAGAAAACATTAGCTAGAGTGAATGTTATTCAGAGTTTGTAGGCGTGTGTGTCCCTCTAGGGTATGGTTTTGATCCCCTTAAATGATAAGGTTTTGTACTCTTTCTGAATTGGGTATACATATAGGTTTAAAAAGAGACATAATCTTTTGTTGCTATTCGTCTCCCAACGAGTAGCCCGATTCTTACTGAAAATTTGACGCCTTTCTTCTGGTCTGAGTGTGCGGGTGTGTCTCAAAATCTATAAGTTACGTACAATAAAACAAAACATACAGTAAAGTAGATACCATTTAAAAAGAAAATTGCCACTTTGAAGACTACAATAGACAAATCAATGCTAGGTGCTACTGATTAAAAATTTTAAAAACATGAGAACATTGATTAAAAGTAGGTAAATTTATTTGTCCTATTGAGACGTTGGTGATGGAAAAATTTCTGGAACAAAATATTTTGAAATAAGACATTTCCATTTGTCATTAAAGAGCTTGGCAGTTTGTCTTTTTACTATGATTTGATCATGGAGTAGCGAGATCACTCGAAGTTTTCCTTCTCAGATCCGTTGATTTAGGGTCAGGGGCAGGTGCATTCAGCACATTTTGTCTGCATGTAACCTTCCTTCGGATATTTTACTCAAATAACTAGGACTGTATTCTTATCAGCATCTCCTTGTGGTCAGCTTTAGTTTTCTTTTCAAGGAGAATTAAGTTTAAAGAGCACTTGATCTTAAAAATATTACTGATCGACTGAAAATATATCCAAAATGCTTATGGAACGGACTGACTGGGTTTGTTTTTCTTGGTACCAATGGACCAATGGGATGTAAAAAAGCAGCATTGTTTACTTCCGGTCTAACAAATTGAAACCTAGGATTTCAAAGAGAATCAAGTCTGCAGATGTGTATGGCGCGCAGATTATTTAAAAACTAAATTTATAGATTGATATGAATCTTTTCCTTTTTTTCCGTCAAGAGAAATCTTTTGCCCTCACTCTTAATTATACATTTGTGGACATAACGCACTCATTTGTCTATCAATTATAAACACCACCCTGTCAGTTCCTTTCAAATGTAAACATCAGTCCACAAGTTGTGCGCACCCACTTGGTCAATAGTAAATGTCATTTAGTTCGTTGTACAGATGTTTCAGTATGTTGTGAAATCTCTCTGTGTGCATTTAGTACTCGCTCAGTTTTAAACGCCACATGTTTAGTTGTTTGTACGTCTTCGATCGGCTCTAATTGCGATACTTCGTTAGTTGTACGAACTAATTCGTTTAGTTTCAAAATTACTTTCTCCGTTGTACGCACTTATTCGGTCGATTACGCGACCAAGCTCTAGAAGTATGTTTGATGTTGTATTATTATATTTATTCTGCCTGCTGCAACCAATTAGGCGGCCAATGGATCTTAGATAAACGCCTGTGCCTCTTTTCTTATTAGAAGTGAACGTAGCTTCATGAGGTATTCCTAATTAGGTCAGACCAAGACAAGCAAGGGTAGTGCTTTTCCTGTTGTAACTTCATCAGAGGCCTTCTTTCACTATGTTCAGTTGGCGTGTGTGTCTGTACATTTTTTTCATTAACGAGGTCAGAATTTACCGCTTTTCGTTTTCTGTTTACTCATACGTGGGTTTGGACATCGTTGATCTTGGCAGTATGCAGGACTCGTGTCACTTGTGAACCTGGTGATGGTGTAGCTCTCCACATAGTTCTCTGTAGCTCAGTGGTAAAGCATTACAGCGCAGAATCTGAAAGGTCGAGTAGTTCGGTTTCTTATGGGAACTCAGAGGTTTTTTTCTTCCCTCTCTAATTGAAAGAACAAAAATATTTATATTCTTATTTCATTTTTATTTCCTTAATGTTGTTTTTGTTTACAGTTTAGAGTTAAAGAGCTAATAGTGAAAAGGCATTTGCAACGATGGTGGCCTCGTTGGACGAATATCCACAGTTAGTGGTAGACTTAGCGCAACGCAGCATCCCACTTAAAGTCCTGGAATTAACCGCCCTCATTGTTCTCATTGCATTAGCGTTCTTTGGCAACGTTATGATCTGTGTGGCTGTTCTCCGGACCCCTGCCCTCCGAACAGTGTCAAACATGTTTGTTACAAACTTGGCGGTGAGCGATATTTTAATGGCGGTTGTTTGTATGCCACTAACACTGTGCGTGCTTATCTCAGGGGATTGGCCGTTCAGCGCAGTGGTATGCGATCTTCAAGGGTTTTTCATGTTTTCGTTTGGAATTGTTTCGCAAATTAATATGTCGGTGATCGCTTTAAATCGCTACTTCGCCATTTGCCGACCGTTTGATTGCAAAGCCATCTTTACCAAGGGAAACGTGATTTGCATGATTGCCTTTCTGTGGATTTTACCAAGCATTGCAAGTGTTCCTCCTTTAACGGGCTGGGGATATTACGCTTTTAATGGAGGCAAAGCTTTCTGTATATATCCCTTCAACGTCAACTTGATTTACACCACGATCGTCCAGCTTCTGTTCATTGCGTTTCCACTAGGACTTATCGGATTCAGCTACACGAAATGCATCATGGCGATAAGGGCAAACAACCGACAAGTCGCGCAAATGGAAGACAATTCTGGTCAAGCCAATCGACAGTCGAGAAAGGCGCGCGAAATTCGTGCCACCCGGACGATGATGTTCGCCACCTTGGGATTCAGCTTGTGTTGGTTTCCAGTCTCCATCATAGATTTTGCAGACACGTTCACAGGAGGCGGGAATTTACCACGTGGAGTTTTCATGCTCAACGGGTTTCTGATCTTCACGTCAAGTTCCATCAATCCTCTCATCTACTGGCTATCAAACCGCGATTTCCAAAAGGCTTACCGGAAATTATTGCCATGCACTGAAAATAATATTATCATAGTGAACGAGGTTTCGCACCCCACACAAATAACTGGTTCTCAGCATCCTGTGAATGAACAACTGTAATATTTATTTCAATCGTTCATCTGAAGTGCATTTACCCTTTGCTATCATCAGAACGACATTGACTTGATCAAATTGGAAATATGTTATGAGCCAGATTGATATCATGTTAAATTGTGCGCATGCATTATTATCTCTCCAACTCGGCTTCATGAAAACATAACTGATTAAAAATAAATATATCAAGCAGACCATAGCAAGAAATGTTTAAATGGATGGGGTGGGGGTTAAACTGTGCTACACCCATGGGATACCTATACCAGCCAGATTGTCGTATCGATATCCACACCGTGTTTTACTAAAAATTACATTTTTTTGCACGAGCAGTGTGTGAACAGGGGATGTTTCACGAAAATCTTTTACAGTGCTTGATACTTATTCGTACATTGGAAAGTTTCCCGTGTATAGATGAGTATCAATTACTGGAAAATATTTACGCTCTGCTGATTCTTCTGGCGGAGTAGCACGTTTTCTCCACCCAAATGATAGGGTTTGTAAATAGTTGACTTAAAGAAATTCTCAGAAGGAGAAGTTCACGGCACCCAATCGCTTCGCTTGTCTAGCCACGCCTCTGCCAAGGAACACCACTGCATACAGTCGTGCACAAACACACTCTTGTCAGTGATCTTCAGTAAAGCCGTTTACACGGCGGGAGGAAGATTTCAGGAGGAGAATCATCCTAGTGTTGAATATAGTGTTAACCAATATGAAAGAAAAGCATTGCATATTTCACTGTTATACACCTTGCGGGTTTTTCCCACTGGACTTGACTCAAAGGAGATAACATTCCTTTTGTGTTAAAGATGTGTTCGCCAAGCGTTGTTTAAGAAAACCGAATTTTCTTGTGAAACAAATTGAAATAAATTTTTCCTTCAAGGGTTTCCCATTACTATGGGTTTTTTCATACGCGTAAAACAGCCTCTAAGAGGATGCGTTTTCAGAGAGTGATTCATTAAGAAAACCTCTTTCGTGCTCGTGCAACAAGCGAAAAATTGTTACCCTCTAAAGGTTCCGAGTGGTAGGTTCTTCTTCATTCCATGTGAATAGCTTCTAATTATTATCTCGATTGAAAAATGCTTTTCTTAAGACTACGTTAACTTTGATAAATTTTGATAACCTAGGTAGTTTGCTGCCCAGCACTGAAATGCCAAATTGCTAAAAACAGCATGTTAAGATCATAACATGGCTTATTGGAAAGTACTGGAAATGACATGTACTGTCTTAGGATTATTTTGGAGACGCGTTTCCCTGACAACGCTCAGTCTTCCAAGAGTTAATAACTAGCTAGGCAATACGGATTCGAAATAATATTTTACTTCCTAACCAAAGAAGTTTTCGATGACAACATTAACTTATGAGGACGTTAATGCTTTCTTAGCACAAGGTGCTTAAAATACAAATTGGCATTTGATTACTAGCAATCATGTTATTTCCAGTGAGACTCTCTCGCCATAATAACAATAGCAGAGGAAAAACAGCCACTTTTATTGTCAAGCTACTTACTCAACATAGTGATGATCGTCCTAAGACTATATTCAATATCTTTAACCCTGAAAGATTTTATTCGACAATATCCCGGCGAAATTTCTAATAACCTCTGGATTCCGACTTACAATTTAACCGAGTTTATGTTACCGTGGAATGGGGAATTACATTTTGCTCACCGTTTAAGTTGTAATTTCCACTCAAACATATCTTTAATAAAGTATTGGACTAATTCTTTGCAATTTGTAATCTTTCTCGGTCCGATTTCGACTGAACGTGAATTTTTTGGTGGGTAAATTTTCTTACTGGATACTTTCGTTTCGGTTGATACGCTTCATTAACGCCGTCAGTGTTTTTAATGAAATATTAATAATATTGGCAATAGTGACAAGGGAACCCGAGAAGAGGCGGGCTATTTACTCAAAGCAGGTTTCTTCCTGAGTTTTTGATCCGTTTAAAAGACTTTTAATAGTGAAAAGAGCCAACTGGCGAAGGACTCAACGCACGTCAAAGGAAAATTCAATATTTTCCTGATACCGAGAGAAGACTTGTCTAGTGATAAATTTTTGAAATTCAGATCTGGACCGAGAAGAGGGCGAATGTCTTGCAGCTGAGATGTACCTGTTACTGTGAATAAAACAATAACTGCTTCACAGGGATATCTTCAAAGGTAATTATACTCATTCTTTCTTAGCCAAAAGTGACAAAACTTCATAGTGTTTCTTCTTGACGTTTCCTCAATTTTTCAGTGGCTTGTATGACCTTTGAGAACTCTTCCTTTAGCATCAGAACCATACAACCACTGGTTATAATTGATCTTTGACTGGTATAGTTACTTACGAATCAGGGTATCTCCAAAGAACGCTACTGTGAAGAAATATCTTTTTGATTTCTTAATTTTTATTGAAGGGATTGAAGAATTGAATTTTGTTGAACTTAGCCGTGAATCAGACGTTTAAAGCAACCACGAAAACAAGAAATGATATAAGGAACGAAGGATTAGGTGGCTGTTAAATAATTTAGCTTGTTTCAAACGGGCGGTGAAAATGTAAAACTTCTATTTTAAGTTATGTTCAATTCTAGCGCATATCTAAGAGATATTTAGATTAGCTTTCTCTAGCAGTATCTAAAACCATCTAGGTGGTTTAAAGTTATCTTAGTAAAACCTTAGTCTTCATCGCGTTTTGATTGTCGAGGTCTCATGGTACCAGTTCAAACAAAGTTAAACTTGATGTGCCTTGATCTTTTGATCTAAAACGAGAAAAAAGATACAACTAGGTAAAACTGCATTAAAAGTAAGAATGATAAAATTAACAAAGGTGAATACAATTTTGTTACGTTTAATTAACGAGAGAAACATATTAGAGATGTTTGGGAGCCTTGAAGCCTAGTAGCGGCACTGAAATAATTGTAAATGACTTTATTGACAAATCAGTTTCCCACCTTTTGTAGAATGTATCAGGGAGGGTTTAGTACAAGAAAAGCAATCAGGTTATCTAATTGCTGTTTTACAGGTTAAGTTAAGAGCTAGTAATTTGGTACGGATCAGTACTTCTCAATGAATGAAGGTCCCAATGACTAGATGGTAGAGTCACGGTCAGTGCGTGAGGTGTGAGAAAGAGGGTAAATCGTGCAAAAAGGCCTACAACGATGGTAAAGTCGACTGAACCGGTCAAACAGACGGTCTGTTGACCTGCTACAGTTAGCAGACCAGCTAATTATGCACTTGCTTGGCATCAGTCGATCGGTCTGTCGGCAAAGAGGGTTTTAATAAATATAACTCGTATTCATCTCCTTTAAATAGCGAATTGATAATGGCGGACACCGAAGAACCTCGACCAGATCCCGTCGAGGGGGTAGACGAGAAGGATTCCACGAAAAAATCCAGTTTTCCCAAAAGATATGTAGTGGCCATCATGATCTTTCTTGGTATCTGTGTGCAATACGCTCTCCGAGTGAACCTTAGTGTAGCAATAGGAGCCATGTGCAATAACCACACTGTGGAGCAGAATGGATTTACCATACAGAAGGTTTGTTTCCTTCTTGTATTTCCAGAACATACATTGTAGCGTCCATCGAATACATGTTTAAACAATTACACGTTGTCTCGAAAGTAACATGTTTTTTTTTTCTCTCGATTAAAGAAAGCTGAATTTGAATGGAGTTCAAAGCTTCAAGGTAACATATCTCAGAATTTAAAAAAAAACTATTTTTGTCAAGTAGAATTTATTATAAACACAGAGGAACTGTTTAAACGGCTCCTAAACATTTAGTTTACTAAACAATCAAATCAAATCAGTTCCAGGCAGCTTTGAATTTAGAGGAAACCGTAGCTCCTCAGTGAGCTGGGGCCAGTCAGTAAAGATATCTAGTCAATAAAGTTCCAAATGTCGAATCCCCATGATTTATAGTTGTGAACAACACGATAAATGATAAAGGTTTATGAGTGCCTAACACCTGAAATGAAATAAATTGAGAAGGACACGAGACCAATATGAATCCTTTTCTTTCTTTTCCCAAAAGGCACAATACTTGGAGCGTTTTACTATGGCTACACTGCTATGCAGATCCCAGGCGGTTGGTTAGGTCAGCGGTTTGGAGGAACCCGCGTGTTCGGGATCTGTCTCGGGATCGCCTCAATACTCACCATGCTCACACCAATTGCAGCGCGCACCAGTGTCGCAGCTCTAATTACTCTCAGGGTGATAGAAGGGTTGGCTTTGGTAAGTGAACAAATTACAGGGTGTTTTCTACAAGCAAACAAGCATCGAGACAATCTCCAGTATCGATGAATCATATTCTTGCGACGTTCAATGCAACTCATGGTTCTAGTCTTCTCAATTATTGCATATTATGCGGGTTTTACGTAGTTTTTACCAATCAAAAGTGGCTTTGCTAAGATCTTCTCTCACTCAATGACAACCCACAAGCCGTCAGTAGGTAACCCTCCAGAGATATGAACAAGAGCCTGACTTTCGAGGTGAAATTTTTCATGTTCTAATATTTCTGTTTAGTAAGAGTAACGCATATCGTTTTTCACCCCTAGTCACTCGACCATATGGCATGTACGAGAGAGGCTCAAAGATTTAAGTCACGAGTGGCTAAAAATCTCTTCCATATTCTCATTAAACTTCTGTCTTATTTTGATTTTCAAAGGGTGCTCTTTTCCCGTGTAACCACGCAATTTGGAGCAAATGGGCACCACCATCTGAAAGAACTCGACTTTTTACCATAACCGTTGCAGGTGATTAAATGTGCAGTCTGGAAGAAGTGACAAATTATAAAAAACTAGATTGACTTACCCTCTACAGCCGGGCACCCTTTTACGTTCTGCCTGACGTAATTTTCACTTAAAACTTGCTTCTCAATCAATTAATCGATCACTCAATCAATCGGTCAATCAGTCGATCGGTCAGTCGGTCAATTAGCCAGTCAGTCAATCAGTTAATCAATCAATCAATTAATCAATCAATCAATCAATCAATCAATCAATTAATCAATCAATCAATCAATCAATCAATCAATCAATCAATCAATCAATCAATCAATCAATCAATCAATCAATCAATCAATCAATTAATCAATCAATCAATCAATCCTCACCCTGGGAATACATCTTTTGATGTGAAAGTTGGCGTGGCGAAGTGTTCAAGAATTTGATCTAGGACTAGTTCTGAAAAACGCCCAAACCTTTTAAAATCATATTTTCCTCCGAGCATTTTTGCTGCCAGCAATTCATAACTCTCTTTTTTGTATCACGTGATAGGTTGTCCAGTGGGTACTATCCTATCTATGCCACTGAGTGGCATTATGTCTAAATATGGATTTGATGGGGGATGGGCCTCCGTGTTCTACTGCTTTGGTAAGAAGTACAGAACATAAAATTGAATGATACCTTATCTTTCACTATTGTAGCTCTACCATGCTTTTCCTTTAAACTCGTAACTCAAACGTTAGAATTTGCGATTTTACGTTTTACTTTAGCCATTATGCCCTTCCGCAAGCTGTTTTTTCGCACTATATCAACACGTAATCGAACCATCTCCTTAAACTGTTCCTTTCAGTTCTCAGTGGTGTGATGCCTTACATCCTACCCTGTCTTGCAGAGGTCTTGTGGAAATTCATTTTAAATACATCACCTCTTATGTTTTTGTTAATGATCTAGGAGCAATTGGTCTTCTTTGGTTCTTTATATGGCAACTAGCGATCCATGGCTCTCCATCAGAGCATCCTACTATCACTCCTGAAGAAAGAGACTATATAGAGGAGAGTATAGCGAAGCTACCCCAGGCTAAGGTAAAGGGGTCGTTAGTACCTGAAAATGACCACGTGATATATATCTTACTAGCTGAGCGGTATGTACTAGTTAAGTGCCACCTCCGCGTTTTTCGTTGAGTTTCCCTGAAAAGTTTTTGTTACTCATTCTAAATAAAAAACACAACACAACGACCACCTACGGCTCCAAGCTGGACCTCTTGATTTGGTGAAGTCAGGTGCTTTAGCTACTGGACTTTGAGGCTCTAAAAAACAAAAAATAAATCAATATACCGGGACAAAGTTAGTAAAACTGAAGTCTGCCATCTGCTATTTTAGAAAGGCCAGGTTCCTTGGAAATCGATTTTGACATCACTTCCCGTGTGGGCCATCGTCACAGCTAATTTCACTGCAGACTGGGGCATGTATACCATCCTGATCTGTCTCCCTAAATATTTCATTGAGGTTTTGCACTTCGACCTTGCTAAGGTATGTATGTATCAGTAACGAGAGTTAGGAGTCAATGAAATATTGAAATACTTTGTCACCACACACACTTAGAAACACGATCACCGGGGATGGGAAATTTTGCCATTCCATTTGCCAATATGTATGCGAAAGACGTTTAAACTTTTTTTTTGCCCAATCATGAAAGGAGGAAAATTCTTCGTGTTGTTTACACAGACTGGGTTTCTGGCGGCGTTGCCATATGTTGTCAAAGCTTTTGTTGGACCTGCCGGAGGTATTCTGGTGGATTGGCTCATTAAAAACAAGATGTCCGTTAGAAACACGAGAAGATGCGTTTTTACCTTTGGTAAGACAAAGTTTCTTTCCCAGTTACCTGCACCTGATACTCCTTTCTCATTGCTACTTGCTGTTTAGCAATCTGATGCATGTTGCGCTTCAGTTTCTACGACAGTTAAATTCATATTGTTTTCGTCTACAGGTTGTACCACAGCTTCGATCTTCATCTTGATAACAGGATATGCTACGACTCCGGCTCTTGCCGTTGCTTTTCTTACCATTGGTGTGGGTATCACGGGTCTGAATGCTTCAGGTTATGCCGTCAACATCCTTGATATTGCGCCTCAGTACGCAGGCGTCATAATGGGTGTGACTAATGTTTTTGGTGCGTCACCGGGCTTCATTAGCCCACAGATTGTTGGAATTGTCACTCCTAACAAGGTAAACAATCACCTCTTATGAGGTAAAGTGCATCTGAAAGCAAAGAAATATTTTGTCAATAAATGAGAAGTTTCCTTGGTTGACGGCTTTCATCTGCGAGGTCTTCTACTGCTTAAGGTCAATTTAATTAAAGAAATCTACGCTTTCAGCGGGTGGGGGACAAGTAAATTTCTACTTCCAGGCGAAAAATGGACTCTTAAACGTAAAAGTTTTTCCCTGAGGGAGACATTAAGCCATTCTCTATGACAATTTCAGAGTTCCAAACTTGAATATCCTAGCGTGGAAGTCACCGAGTCTCCATTTGCTAATAATCATTACCAGATTTTCAGAAATATCAGATTTGTGAACTCCCCAGGGCAAAATAAGAGAACGTGCATGACTTCGCGCTGCTTAATAATATCGCTGTCGTTTGCAGACCGCTGGCGAGTGGCGCATTGTATTTTGGATCACAGCGATCGTGTACATCATTGGTATTGTGATCTTTGGTCTGCTGGTCTCAGGTGATCTGCAACCCTGGGCCCAACATGAAGACAAGAAGGAGGAAGAAGATGGAAAAAAGGAAGAAGATGAAGAAAAAGCAGCTGAAAAACAAGAAAAATCGGATGAAGATAAGAAAGAGGATGAAAAACCACAGGAAAGTCAAGAAGAGGCGAATAAAGAAGAACAAGCTGAAGACAAACCTGCAGAGTAATCGTAACAGTCGGATAATATTACAATCTTGTTTTGCTGAAAGACCTTCATAGATGTTAAATTAAATTAAAGCTTGTTATTCTTCATGACAACGTGTTAGCAAAATACCTATTAACTGTGAAAATTGAGGGTATAGTCTATGATGCTTAACCGGAATATTCGCTATTCTTTGTCGAGTCCTCAACATTTTAATTCACGTTTAATTTAAACGTGGTTGTCTAAACAGTTCTGTTATTATTTTGATTTTAACTGCTATATTTTAAAAATGCTTTTCCCTATCAATAGCATGATAAACCAGTAAAAAACCTTACGAGCAAAACAATCATATAATACGCGTCTGCTGCAGGTCTCATTTTTATCTTACACTTTAATAACTGTAACGGTAAGGTTTTCGAAACTATCTTTGCCGAATGTATCCTTGGATTCCTGTGCTCAAAGTTCCACGTCCATTCACAAGGCGTGAATGTCCTCGAAGCTACAAGCTAGACGTCAACATGAAAAAATGTTTCAACTCGCAATCGTTGTTTTTAATTTGCATTTTCTGCGAGAACGACAACTGGTGATTGAATGATTGCATGGAAGCGACGGATGCATGCAACGCATTTTCTTTCAATTCTCTTATTGTTTATTTCCCATGTTTTCGAAGCGAGGAAAATTACAACCAACGGGCTGGATTTAATCATCAAGAATCATAATTCTTTTCGTAAATAGAGTGTAAAACCATTTCAAAAATCTTAAGTTTGTAATACACAAATTTATTAAGTGTTCTTTCCTTTGACGCTCTGAGAATAATCTCAGGTTAGATAAACAAAATCTGTTTATTGTTCATTTCTCACTTAAAATTTGTTTCATTTCGTTAAACACTTTCTTTGCTCGTATCGACCGTTATCTGAGTTTCCTGAGTACTATGTTGTCATGTCCAATAAAAGTAAGATAGTCTGTCAAGCCAGCTATCAAGCCAAGCTGAAATAAAGAATTTCCGTCATATAAAATGGCTTATTTTTTCGTCGATGTGCGAACCTTAATCCAGCCATATGTTACCTTACCACACCTTTGTGAGCAACGGACTATTTTTCAACCTGTCATTATTGGATGTTTCAATAACTTTTTCCATGAGCGGCTGCCAATGATGCAACAGGCGGCTGTGCCCGGAAGGGGGTCAGTAAGGCAGCATCCAAACATTTTGAAACCCCTGCCCCATTTGGCTGCCAAGATGAACTCTGACTACTGTTACAAACTGCTGTCATATATCACTCAACTTACACGACTCTCTTTTCAGTCAGAGCTCTGCGCCTTAGGTCTATAATCAGCAAACCAGGCCTGGATTAACTCAGCGGAATAATCAGTGTAGGCCGCCAATAGCTTAAGTTTGGCAAACTTAAGCTATTGAATCTTATAGAAGTATATTCTTCCTAAGTCTATCGAAAGAAGTCCAATGTTATGAGACCTAGGCGAACTACGGTATAGTCTACACTACACCACATAAAAAATAGCCCGTATTTAATAATAACGCCCCAGAACGCGAACAAGTCATTCACAGGCCAAAAAAATCGTTTCGGAACGCAGGCCAAGGACGCTTCCCAAAGCTTTTCTGAGGGCGTCTACTACAAGTCTTACTGCAGGCATGAGGATCTGAGATAGGAAAAGAAAAGAACGGAGTAAGAGGAAAATAAACCTATTTGGTTTTTGAGATAATGGAAATCTGTAGATGTACCCAGTGTATTGGTAACGCTGCCGTGAATTTAAAGCTATAAGTTCCAATCCTTACTTCTGAATGATAGTATCAATTTTTCTCCTCACCCCTACTTATTTTCCTCTAGTCTGGTTGGAATACCTGTTTAAACAGCACAGGAACCTATCCGATAGATGAAGATTCATTGTGTAGATAAATGCAGTGCAGCCCCTCTTCGTAACATAAGCAGCGCCGAAATTAGTGGTCCAGGTGTGAGTTAAAACTTTACTTGTGGTTTATATGGTTTCTGCGCAGACACGAAAGCAACTCGTTATAATGTAAACTTAGGTTTAAATTAAGGTCGTTGACAGTATAGTAACTAGCTCAGTTTAGAGTGAATTTTCACACCTGCATCTGCAAACAATCCCTGGTTGCTTCGAGAAAATTTCCAGTCATCATCAAATAATTTTATACGTTATCCCCGACTGAAGATGTTGCCATGCTTATTACATAACCTCTCTGTACGAACATTCTTTACCCTTTGACCCCGAAGAGTGACTAGTAGCTAATTTCTCCTTACAATATCACCACTGAATCACACATTAATGTCATGAGACTAAAGGATATGATCACCAACTAAAGAAACTCTTGATTGCTAAAGAAATTCTCCTTGTTAGCTTCTTAGGAACTGTATGGACTACAGTATGGAGGATATGCATACTAATGTTAGTGTGTAAAGGGTTAACTTAAACTGAACGTGCTTCTATATCAAATATGAACTTTGAGTTAAACAATGATTTTTAATCATTTTATCAAAATTTGATTTTTTCAAGGCAATTCTCGATTTTTTTCTTAAGTTTTTCAACATGTCTTGAGAACTAAATTTCTCGAAATACCTGTTTCACTTGAAGAGGTTTTGTTTACAAAAGGTGTGTTACTTGGCAACATCCTTCAACTCTACAGGTTGAACTAAAAAATCACCTGCAAGTAACAAATAAAATAGCCACCTTCAACAAGCGGTCATGGCCGTTCTTATATGATGAAAACTTTTGCCTGAGTGAAATAAGGATATAAGGGGGATAAATCATGTCGTAGAGCACCTTTAATGGCTCAGTCTACGGGAGACTTGGAGTCGGGTTTAACCCGCTTTTTAAACACTTTATATGCTTGCTTTCGCTTTATGTCAAGATTTCTTGTTTTATGCCAGTTCTGTGAATGTCCGACACGAGGAAAGAAGTGTAAAAAAAATGTGAGTGGAGATGAAGATATTCCATCGGAGAAGACAAATCGTCAGGGGAATAGAATTTCCCTGGCTGTGTATAGTTTTCCAAAGCGTTATATATTGGCCATAATGACTTTTCTCGGATTTATGAACATGTATGCGTTGCGTGTTAATTTGAATGTCGCTATTGGTGCAATGGTCAACAACCACACTGTTCACCAGAGAGGATACACTGTTACCACGGTAAACTTTTATTATAAATACCTTTTCTTATATGCTTCTCATTAGATCGATATCTACTTCATCAACAGGAAAAAAGCCGAGGTTTATTTTACCTTTTCACTTAATTTTTAGGTTAATGAAAGATTAATATGTTGTCTTCTCTTTTCGGTCGAGAACAGGTCTTGAATCAAAAGTAAATAGTCACTTCACTATTTATAATTACAAAATACAACATCACATGCCTTAAAGCCGTTCTAGAATATTTCTAAATTGCTAGTTATGTCCTTGATATGAGTTAGTTATCAAAATTGTACCATGCATTTTTCGGATTTCCCTTCTAAAAATGCTAATTTCCAAGTTGTTTTTAATTTTTGTTACCTTTCTTTTACCTGTCAAGGAGGAGAAGATCTTTTTATGACTGCACGTAGGTGTGAAATTAATTTTGCGACATTACGTCGTCTGCAAGGATATATTACTCACTAAAAGAATTGTGTCCCAAAGGGGGTGTTCTCACTGCTAGATCTCGTAACTGACTCGAAGCCTCAGTTAAATCAAATTTTCTCACGATAGATTATTTAGTCTCTTAGCTCAGTTCATGAGCTAAACAACATAACAGTCTTTATTTTAAGCTGCCCATCCACTGAAATTAGCTTACCTACAATCCGAAAGTTTGAAGTCAAAGTATTGAAGCTTTCCAAATTTCCGACGATCCTCTTACATTGTTTTCAAAAACTGTGCTGTGGATAAATTATGACTGACACATCGTCATCTTAATCATAAATTTTCAGGAAGCGGAGTTTGATTGGGATTCAAAGCTTCAAGGTAAGAGAAAATTTCAAAATTCGGTCAAACTTCCATCAGTTTTTTAAAGCTGTTTCTTACAGGCTTGATCGAAATTCTTGCACAGTCATCTAGTTAGCTGAGAGAGACTTTTCATCGCCTTTTATCTTTTCCCATATTTTGTTAGAAAATAATTTCTAGAATCTGTGTCGTTAGACAATCTGCATGGTAGACCTGCCGAAAGGCATGGAATATAGTAGTTTCTCTGACTTTACTGTGGCCTTGAACTCTCCTTTTAATTATATTTTTTTATCTTTTCCATTTAACGAATGACTTCTACCCTCACCAATTCCCCTTAGGTATTGTTCTGGGCTCATTCTACTATGGATATGCCTTTTTGCAACTTCCTGGTGGTTGCCTCGCTCTCAAGTTAGGCGGTACGAGAATATTCGGTTACGCCATCTTTTTAGCCTCCATGTTAACACTCCTGACACCAGTGGCCACGCGCTACAGCGTGTACGGTCTGATTGCTGTCAGAGCTGGAGAAGGACTTATGCTGGTGGGTTATGAAAACCGTCAGTTATCCATTCACATAACTTTTTGCGAACTTTCTTGATTCAAGATTTACTTTTAACCAAGACAACATGAACAGCCCAAGGTCTTTTGTCTGAGCCTTTTTTTTTGAAGCAACGTTTGCGGTTTATTCATATGCTCCATCCTTCACACAGGGACAACTACTGAACTGACCCTAGATTTTGCGTCTCCCTATCCTAGGAAACACAACTCAACTATAATTATGATATTCTTAATTTGAGGCAACTCCTGGTGTCAAATAACTGTTGATAGGAAAAACGAACACTGCTTGTCAGAATTTTGATGATTCTTTGTTGCCTCTTAGCGTATTGTAGCTCACCCTTCGACCATCGAGCCAAGTGTTCTGTTCGTGAGAAAGTTTCATCATTAACGAGTTTGACTTCCATTTTATAGGGCGCTGTGTTTCCTTGTAATCACGCTATTTGGAGTAAATGGGCTCCGCCACTGGAGAGAACAACTCTTGTTACCATGGCAATTTCTGGTCAGTAAACGATAAACATTTGGGGAATCTATGGACGCTTTTAGAGAGCTAGCTAATAAGTATATGATGCTTATCAAGTAAACGTTTGGACTGTACTTTTTCACACTCGATGGAGCTGTCTGCCTTTGTGGAGGGTTTTACAATAATGTTTGATGTGTCTGTCTCTTCTGTGCGTTATCTTCCTCCCAGGTTCGATAGTTTTATATCTAAATGAATCATTTTGAAAATATTCTACTTTTCTGACAAGGTTGTCACGTGGGAACCATCATAACCATGCCTTTATCAGGACTTTTAACAAAATACGGCTTCGACGGAGGCTGGGCCTCGGTGTTTTATTGTTTCGGTGAGTACATAGCCTTACTCTTTTAAACTAATCTTGCATCGAATGGTCACATTGCAACCATGAAGATAGATTTAAACCGGTCTCTCCCTCTCTTGTTTCAAACTATTCGATTAAAACCTGGCTCTGGTGTAACTCTTAAGGGGTCCCGCGAGTACTCTGTTGAGAGAGAGGGAACAAGAAGCACGAAGCTCAAGGAACCATGCGTGGTTTTTATTTCAAAAACTGCTAATTCAATTTTGATAAGAATCACTTATGTACCACGGTAGGGTATCCGCACTGATGATGTAAATTTGGAAGACGAATTCAAAAATACATGCCTTCATGGATTAATATTACCTATCTCATTTAATTAAAACATTGAGTATCAAATGATATAAATCATTTTCCAGCCATTTCCAAGTTCGCTTCTTACATTTTAGGTGCTGCTGGTATTCTGTGGTTTGTTGCCTGGCAATTGATTGTTCACGAATCACCATCTGATCATCCCACAATATCAGAGGATGAAAAAAATTACATTGAGAGCAGCTTTGATAGAGTACATGTAGGGTCTATTTTTATTAATGTTAATGTAAAAAAGGGATTAGCAAAGATTAACTGATTTGGTACATGAGTTAGTTCCTGGTTACTTGGTTGGCAAAAAATGAACCAACAGGATGAAATGTACAGTAAGTGATTTGAACCCAGGAGTAACAGTTCTTTGTATGGTCTGGTCATCCAGATGTGAGTAGTCCTGAGACTTTTGCGGTCGGTAGTAGTGACTGACGTTTGCACGACCTTAGCGGAAGTCAGAGTCGGATTCATGTTTCGATCGATAATTTCTTCTCCTTATCAGCTGAAACAAATCAGATCATATCCCCCGCATAGATATTAGGACAATAAACAGTACGTAAACACTCTGTAAACAAAGTGTGACACGTATTTTTAGCTGCGAGTCGTGGGCTGCTATTCATAGCCAAACACATTACGAGAGTTGATTTGGATTAATCGTGGTCACTCTGCTTAAATCAGGCTCTTGATGTAATGCGGACTCTTATAGTAGGAAAGAGAAGATGTTATACTTTTTCACCCAATCATAGATTCTTTATCATCTCTTTAGGGCGATGCGTCAATACCATGGAAGTCAATTCTGACCTCAGTACCCGTGTGGGGAATTATGTTTGGTAACCTGGCGTCAGACTGGGGATTGTACACAATTCTCATTTGTCTGCCAATGTTCCTTCTTGACATTTTACACTTTGATATACAAACGGTATGAAGACATTTTGCAGCCCTTTGTGCATATAGCATAGAACTGGTCAAATTTCTTAGACTGCATGATTTATTGCTGGGGAATCGAATATGAACAATTTCTCCTTCGTAAATGAAAATCGATTTATATAAAAATGCTGCTTCAAGAGGTTTCGTCTTCGAGGCAATAGAAAAAATAACAATCATGTTTTTTAATTTTTTTCTCATGGAAACTCGATTTGTAACTAATCATATCATATTCATCACACTAGATGGGATTCTTGGCAGCCACTCCTTTTTTGGTCAAGTCTCTCTCAGGCCCTTTCGGTGGCATCACAGCCGATCTGTTACGAAGGAGAGGACTAAGTACTAAATCAGTCAGAAGAGTATACTTCGCTGTTGGTTAGAAAAATATTTTTTGTGATTTTTTAAATTATCATCGTTTCAAAGATTCATCTCAATTACATTTAGGTAGAAATGTGGGTAACAATCATGACCCATTTGTCGAATATTTGTTCGCCAGAGGCGTGGTTTACGCCCATAAATGTCTATTCAGTGATTTGAATGTTGTTTCAAATTTATTGGTTTTCTTTTGATGAGAAATTGCAAGTTCCATTTAGAAAATAAAGACTCTAAAAGTCACAATGTGCATGTAGCAATGCATATTCTGAATTTAGGTCGCTACAAAATGAAAGAATCTGAGAGAACTTAAACTGTTATCTCGCAGAATAGAATTTTGGATAACTGATCATAAGTGCGCATGCTCAGTCAGATGTCGAAGGCCTAATTTGACCATCAAATGATACTTACTTTCCTCACTTCCCTTTTTTACACATGACCTTTTATTTCCTTTACCAGGAGCTATGGGGGCCGGCACCTTTATCCTGGCCGCAGGATACGCTAGCACAGCCACTGTTGCGGTCACGTGCATGTGCATAGGGGTTGCAGCCTCTGGACTAATGCATTCTGGTTACAATGTGAACATGCTGGATATAGCTCCTCGGTACGCATGCGTGATTATGGGCCTAACAAACACTGTGGGAACGATCACAGGATTTCTAAGTCCAATGATGGTTGGCTATATCACAGTTAATAAGGTGGGTTAATAATTTGCATGCGCGATAGACAAACATCCGCGTTTGGCGGATTTAGTGCGGTCCCTATGTCCAATCTCTTTTCGTAAAGAGGAGCACGATGGTTATTCAGCTTTCCAGAAGAAGTTGAATTGGGCTCCTTTCCAATCTATTTGGATGCTCACCTTGTAAAGAGGAATGACGAAGGGCTAACGCTTTGAAACTCTTTACGGTGGCCAATTTACGTTATTAACTCAGTTGATAATATTAAATTACCTAATTGTAGTTTTATTAGGATTCAACATGAATCTGTCAATTTTTTTTTTTGCTATTATAATCCAGCTCTACTGTCATTCTTTAATCTGATCATTTCCATTGGCGTCCTTTTAAGTACACGAGACACGAATGTTTTTGTTTGTTCCTCACACAAGGAAGCTGAAGAGTGGCGCACAGTATTTTGGGTAACCTTTGTTATATATGTGGTGGGAATGCTGCTCTTTTGCTTACTGATGTCAGCTGACCAACAGCCCTGGGCCAACGGCCATGAAGGGAAGAAGAATGGGGAGAGAGAAGAAATCAAAATGGAAGAAGAAAGTTGACACATGAGGCTGTTTTCGTTAGAAAATCAGGGTCTGATACAAACAGGCGTTGATGTGCTTCGAGTCGAACTCGGAAACTTCTGAAAGTTTCTGAGGCATATTGTTTTTTTCTTTTAGATGCAGTGTAAAGAAGAAAAACAATTCAAAATACTAAATGCCAAAACAAAAGACTTGGGCCTTGAGTAGAGGGAAGGAAGACCCGCTCCCTTCGCTCAGGGCCCGCTCTGAAACCTTGACCCGTGATTCGTCATTCATGGACTAAAGCCCCATTTTACTTGTTCCCATTTTGTTTCCACTCAGATTATGCATCATTTTCTCGTGGTAAAAGCCGAGTAGATGTGTCAGTACGTTTTCACACATCGTAAGTTGTAATAAATCCGAGTCTTGAAGCAAGTTGAGATTCCATTTAAGTTGTTTCGAGTTTAGTTAAAACGTCAATAAATCTGTTTTTGGATGGAAAAGGTTCTTGCAGTTTTCGTTCTTGCTGTGATGCCACGAATCATGTCAAAAAAGACTTTACACAGCCTTATGTGCGCACGAGCGAGGCTGGGAGACTGCTTCAAAACAGTTTTTCAAACGTGAAACACAAATGAGGATTTAAATAACTTCTTAGAAATCGCCCGCCTCCCCTAGCCCTCTCGAGTGTTCAAATGAGGCCACACAAACACAACAGAGTTACTCAATAACATTTGTTATGTATTCCCTAAAAGATAGCCGTGGATCTGATTGTTTAGGTGTTAGTAATAACCAACTTTCTTCGCCTTGATTGGTTACCTTTTGTCCAGTAAGTTTTGGATATTTGTTCCCAGTCTTTTTTCTTTTGGATAAATCCAACATGGCGCACGCCCTAATAGCGCACGAGGAAACAGCATTTAACAAATAAATCACTTTACGGAGGAAACCTTGCGAATTCATGGAATTATTTGTCATAAGAAACAAACTTCGTAGAAACACAAGGCAGAGAAACTGATATGTTGCTTTTCAAAGCCTACAAACACCGTTAAAAGGTAGGAAATTAGTGTTCGTTTCTTAAAAATTAAATGTACTTAAAGGAGGAGGATACTTCAGAAACCACCTAGATTTTATCTCCGCCATTTCAAAACATACATGAAATTTTGACTATGGCTGCGTTTTGAGGTTCCAAAGAGTAACTTAACTTTTCAGGTGAATCAAGAATTTGACAATGGATGCTGCCATTTTGATTATTGCATAGCAACCTGGCTACCATCTGTGACGTAACCCATTGCGTCTTGCAACATGGCTGGCCGGGGCATACGTATGAGCCACATTTGGCCCAGACAGGAGCAACAAGCTTAATGAAAGTGGAGAGGCCTATGCTGAACACAACAGCTGTTTGTGAACTGTGCATTTTGGTTCTCGCCATTTCAGTTGAATGCTGGTAGTTGTTATTTATGTGCAATGAGGTTGCAAGGAGTTATTCAAATTGGTGGCATAGGTGGTCAATTTTTAGCGCATTTTAAGAAAACTGTCAAGAGGAATCTAGATATGAGGTAAGAAGTGAATTAGGACATTTATGCGCTTTTGACTGAGGTAAAAATTATATGGTTTCGTTGGCAATTACTTCTCCATTTCAGCTTGTTGAAAATGAAGGCCAAATAAAGAACATGAAATAGAGAAAGGGGGTCTAAAATTCCCCAAGGAATAAGGGTATATAATTTTTTTCCTTTCTCCTCCACCTGGGCTGCAGTTTGATTTGTATAGGTGAATTTATTTTCATCATCTGAGGTTAAATTATCTACCTAATGGTTGACCTATTTCTTCTTTTTGAGATGGAGTTCCATATGAAAGGTAAAACTACATCTGTCAAGATTTAATGTTTTATCATAAATTTGAAAGACAGGTCTTTGAATTAGATTTTCATCAACTTCCAATTAACTGAAGGACTAGCAATTATGAAACTACAACTTGTTTTTCAGTGAGAAAATGCTCTGAAAAGTTTAGTGTAAACAGAGGCAGCTGTGTGTGATATTAAATTTAAGGTGATATTTATTGGCAAACAGACCTTTGCTTTGGTCTATAGAAAACCTTTTGAACTATGGTAGCAAAAAAAATTACAATTTTGATATCAGCATGTTGTATTGAAGAGTTAAAAGCAAGAAATATACTTCATTTTAAAACACTGTGATATGAACAATTAAATTTTGAAAGAACATCTTCTCCATATTCATCATAAGTAGCGTTATTTAACTCACAGAGGAGTTCACTTTTCCCAGAACAAGTGTTAAAGGACTTGCAGTTTGAGTCTTGTAAACACATCAATCCACATTCTGCTATGCTATACACAACTGCAGACTTGATCATATGGCCTTGCATAGCAGCATTGAAGTATCCTGACAAAAGAAGGGACCCACTTGTGGTGCCTGTGAAAATAATAGAAGATAAAATTCTTCAAATTATACCTAATACCTACAATGGAAAGGTATAAAGTGAGAGGCAGGTAGCTCCTTAACCCTCTAACTCCCATGAGTGACCAAGACAGAATTTCTCCTTACAATATCTATACGAAGTTATGCAGACAAGTGATGCGAATAAGGAAAAATATCAATTATAAGATTACTAAATGATCCAAATTCTCCAAACTGACATAATGAGAATTGTTTGGCAGATAGTAAGAAGAATTTTTGAAGAGATCTTGAGAGTTAAAGCGTTTAATTTTTTTTTTGCACAGTAAAATATGTTTTTTCAATTTATGAATGCTTTACTATACAAAAATATAGGTTAAGCAGTAGCAAGTGTTCTACTTAATTTATTTTCACCTCCACTTTAAAGGCGTGGGGTTTGTTTGATTGCTGTAATTTCGCTAGAGGCCCTTTTCACTTTACTATTATATGGATGTTGAGGGGATTTATAATTTAGTTCAATTACTAACTCTGTTTACTGTTTGGATAATCTCCCTGCAAAGTTTAGATAAAGTTCAGGGCCACTTTATATTTTTGGTTATTTAAGGCAGCATTGAATTGAATGTCAGAAAAATGATTGTAACATGAAAAGAAATTAAATAAGCAATTTTTTGCCATCATTTATAAGGAAACATGCAAAAAAAAAAAATGATCCACTAGAGAATTGGTGTTTTAAAATAATGAAATCATCCAGAGCCACCTCAACTGAGTTGCAGGAGAAGAATTGCTGCAACATTTCATGCTGAGACACTTATTATCCAATTTGCTACCATGGGATTTCTTGATACTTAGAAAGGGACAAAGGGGAGGAAAGTGTAGATGCTCTGTTAACAATCAGGTTAAAATCATTAAAATAGCTTTTGTTTTCCATGTTATTATATACACTGTAAATGGCATTTAGGGTTTCTTTTTAAAGCCCTGCTCTCTTTACCAAACAATGAAAAAAAAAAAAAAACTTTTACAATGGGCCATCCCTTTCCCTCAGGGGTTGCCAGGGTGACAAAACACTGGTTATTGAATATACAATATGGTTAATACTAATTGATAATTATTAGCCTTAGTGTTTCTAATAGGCTGTAGTTTTGCTGTGGTAAAAGTGTCAAAACCTCCCAAGAAATACTCGAAAACAAGAAGTGCAGAAGCCATGATGTATCAAAGAGTGGGTGAAGAACCGCCTCAAGGGCAGTGCACTTTATACAATTTTTGTACGCCCCTTTTTTTGTCGATTATAACCAAGGTATCCTCATCTAATAATTAAAGCAATCTCCAATTGAGTGTCGAAATTAATCCAGTATCGCTCTGATTTTGCTTAACCTTGCCTTCTGATTGCTCCAGAAAACTCCTCCAACTTTCTCGACCAATCGGATTCAAATCTAAAACCAACCTTGTTTTTCCGTGCTTCAGGCATTTTTGTTTGTCACACTTTGAGTTCTCATCGCGTCTTTGTGGAATATTCCATTTTGTCTGGTTTGCCCTGGTGAATACTTTGCTTTTGGATTTATTACACTCAATCGAAATTAACACTATTAGTTTGTGAGACCGAGCAGTATGTATATGACATCCGTGATACCTTGCGGGCAAGAAGGCTTAACTGTACAACTTTCTTCTACTTTAGTTTGCTTTTCTCCCGGTAGAGGATTACCAGAATCACACTCGGTCGTGCGATATCTCACTCCGATGCCACATGTTACAGAGCATGCGCTCCAGGGACCCCAGTCTGAGACTATGAAAAAAATTAAAAAAAAAAAAGATTATTCAAATGAGGGATAACCATAACCATTTTTCGAATTGAGCTAGGTTGTTGTTTAAAAAATGGAAGGCTGGAGAAAGGACAATATTAGATTAAAAAAATTGATTATTTTGATCACGCTGTGTAAAAAAAAAAGCAAAGATAAGAAAACATAGTATTCCCTCAACAAATGAATGTTTCCTGCTGTGCTTTCTGCAATTGATGAAGTTTTCTTGAAGATTTATGCAATATATTTCCTCTAATATCGTTCTAATACGGTGCAGGAATAGTATCATGGGAATTATGAGAGAAATAGTTTTAAATACGTAGCCTTTTTAGCTTTCGTGTAGTCTTGACTACGCAGATTGTTCGCGCAGTAATTACAAGTGGTGTTGAAAATGCGAAGGGATTGACCGGAAAATGTCAACTGCCTCTACAGCTTGAAAACATTTCATAAATGTTTTCATGGTGTTTGGTCTCGAGAAAAAGTCTCTGTTGTGATGTCGTAAACATTAGCTAATTAATCTCCTTTAAATATTTCCTCTTGTTCTTAGCAAAAGGGAACGAAACTAAGCAAAGTATGAGACATAATGAACTTCTAACTTACGAAAACAAGGGGAAATATTCGCTAACACATCCTGCACCATGAAAAAGTGAAGAACCCCGACATGAAGGACAAACATTATGACGAGGGCCTCTACTGGTCTGAACGGGGAGTTATCTGAGATGAGCTTTGTTTGTTCATCATGAGGTTCAAGTAAATCATCGCTCAATTTTCTGTTGGTTGGCTAGTTATTTTATCTCGAGATTTAGGTAATTGCTTCCTGGTATCAGTTGGAAAATCTCTTCATCTAATCTTGGGCTTTGTGTTCATGATTGATAATAGGAAAATAACATGCGAGAACCAGGTTATGATAATTAACTAATTGGATTTAACTTCTAATGAAGCAAAAGTAGTTATTATCTTTTGGTCGATCGGTGTGCATCTTGTTGCCGGGTAACATTACTATTGGGTAACGAAGTAATACGTCGTGAGAATTTAGAATAAGATGAGGTCCGCAATGATCCAAAGCTATTTTGAAACTGTGTTTGCAAATGAAACGTGGCCAAAACAAGAAAAACAACGACAAGCTTTTGACTTCCTGTTGAGTTTTTCATAGTCAGGGTGAAAACTTGTTCTTTTTTTTGTAAAACTGCTATCATTGCAAACCACTTTTTGCGTCCTGAAGAAAAATTAAATTGATTGCTGAGATTGAAATAACACCGTGATTCACTAGTTATCGATTAGCTGTTAATCGTATTATGTTGGGGAGTTGTAAATATAATGTAGGGTGTTATCGAATCCTTTTTCTTTGTCATTTGAGGGTTGCAAAATCTGCATGAAAAAGGTGAAGTTAAAAAGGAAAGAAGAATCACAGAAATATCCGAGAAAAAACCCCGGATCTAGAAGTGCTAAAATTTTACTACATGTACAATGAAAGAACTATTGTGAGAGGTGGATCTTTCTTAATATGTGTTGTCGCCGAAAATATTCTGGGAACTGATTTCATCTTTCTTGGTTTACTATTGTGACTTCTGTTGTATTACATGAGCAAATGGGAGAGTTATCATATCAAATGCTTTGAAGAAGACGGATTCGCTTTACGATTGATAAAGTTGAACTGCTACTCCTTATGCTCAGTGCATCAAAATTTAATAGCTTCTCTTCAGGATAAGTATATCTTCTCTTAAAGGTTCTGTCAGAGCTTAGTAAAGGCAATTGCAACAACCATTGTCAGACTCTATATGCCGGTGTCTTTATTCAGCGGTGAAAGTAAATGTACTTACTCTTTTGCTGAGACCAGTTTTATATATGATACCATTAATATTTTACCTTGAGGTAATTCCCAAAAATGAAAATGGGGAAAGACACTTGGTGATAGGTTTGGCAATATGGAATGAACTAATTGACTAAATTGATGATTTTTTTAAATTAGCGCTTCTGAAAGCTGACCCTTGGAAAGCGGAAAATACATATGTGCCTATGGAATACATTTATTGTTTGAAGTTTCATTAAGATAGATTCTGAAAAATTAGATTTTAATGCTTCAAGATAATCGGTTTGCTCGAAAATACTAGTCTTGACTTCCTTTAATTAAAGCAAAGGCTATGAGAAGTTATTTTGTTCTTACCAAAACCCGATGTGCGTCATGGATCGATCGAGAGTAAAGACTTTTTTCATAAACAAAAATAAATATCTAAAAGAGTCAGTGATGGACCAATACTTGCCACACTCCAGACGGAGGTCGGCCAAATCAGTCGAAACCTAAGTTATGGCTGGCAGAAAAGGCAAATTATTTTTAATCACCTCATCGAGAGAATTCAGAAAACTTCTGACGCTTAAGTAGCTTAGTGATACTTCAGCCAACTTGATATACATTTGGCAGATGGCCAGCGCTGTATGATTTGTACCGCTGGATATTGATTGCCCTGAGTCATCTAATTTTAATTATCTAGCTGAAAAATAAATGGATCCCTATCGTTTGTTTAGGCAATAGGTGATAAATCGTTCCCAGTGGGTAGATATGATAAAACCAAAAGTCAGATCGAGATTTTGAAATGATTTTTTTCCCTGGTAAAAGAAAATGAACTGAAGGGAGTTTTTCGATGAAATTCGTGTGCATAGTCTCGATATACTTTTTTTTCTTCGTTCTAGGTCTTGAAGCCAAGCAGGAGAAATATAAGAAGGGTGAGATTTCAGTATTTATTCGGCTTTTATATCTTTTCCATTTACATTTGTGATATTTGATTGTAAAGTATACCAATTGTTCTTGGAAGCCGGAAGAGTTGCGGTATTTAAAACATACACTAAACGTATGAAATTTTAGGTAAGAAATGAAGTGGTTATATTTCCTGCAGATAAGTCCAATATTTCCCGCCTACCTTTAGGACATATAATTATTAGTGACATGGGTATATCATGCAATTATCTTTTTGATGAAACATCAATTTTTTTTACTGCAATAAAGAATAGATCTTTACAATTCTCCTTACTCCAACACCTGACTAAGTAAGTGTTTGCGCTACCGAAGTTTTTGCCTCATTCTTGTATCTATGTATCTTCACGTTTTATTTTACTTCACAACATCTTCATTTAATTTAAACCTTGTGCACATGTGTTTGTTCAAGGCGAAAGAGAGCCCTTTTTTTTTTTTAGAAACTCAAAGTGTTCCTCGGAAGTTTGACTTTTTCCTCACGGGAAACAGATTTTATTCCCATACGTAGATTGCAGCTCGATGTTCATCGAATCGAATGGAGTCTGTATTTACCTCGGTTGCCAAGGTTCGAGTACTGAATTCATTGAAGAACAAGACATTGAATAATTGCTTTACCTTTGAAAAATTCAAGGCCAGGGAACTTTTTTTTTCTACAGCTCTAGCCATATATCTTTCAAAGGAAAATGGCAAGGTTTGGTTGAGAGTGGTTTTCAGGTTAAGGTTTCATTTTGCTTTTAGTTTGTAAAATTATTTTGAATTGCTAAGCTGCAGTCAGTGAGCAGATGTTACACTCTGTCGCAATGCGCTGCATCTTTTATTTGTTATTCCATCAACGTTTCATCTAGCCAGGTACCGTTTCAGGCGAGAAATTGTAATTTTAACCTTGAGAAATTGAAAAGCATGTGTTCGACCAAGATTATATGCTGTCGCCCGAATCACACAAAACATCTGTAATTGTAAACAATTTCAGACCATCACTTCTCTTGAGGTGTGTGCTAAACTGACATAGAATTCTCAATGGTTACTATTTGGACCGCTCTCTCTCTCTCTTGCTAAAGGGTTTTCTCTCCTTGACAAGTTTTTTGATTGGAGGAGTTTATGGAAAAGAGTCCATTCAGAGGTTAACTCAGTGACGAGAACAGCTCTCTACCGCGTAAGCCTTAAACTGTCTTCTAGATATTGTGAAATTAGATGTAAAAGGCGAACAAAGGTTGAGGGGAAGGAGCACAGGGGGACCTATAGTCCCCCCTAAACGAAAATGAAGAGAGAATAGTCTCGCCCCAGCGCGCACACACCCACCCACGCACACACACACGGTCCTAATTTTTCCTCAAATCGTTTCACCAAGATCGCGCTTTGCGAAATGATATTTCGTACATGTGAGACTTTTTTTAACATTGGCCTTCTTATGCATTATCAGAATTCGATCAAAGAGAACTTTTTTAAGATTGAAAAGAACCACGTAGAAGCTATTTTAGTACATTTAAGGCGGGGTATGCACCTACATAGTTTGGCTTGGTGTACAATGTACTCTGAGCCCCTCAGGCATGTAATTGTAAAGACAATTTTTCAAAGAGAGACTTTTTAATCGTTTTCCGGACGTAGTTCATACCTGTTTTCTTTAGCCAATGCTTTTTAAGCCTTTTATTGCTTCGCTTCTAATTGGTATCGCAAGGAATTATTTCCTTTTTCGCAGTCTTTTCTAGCGGTGTCCAAATGCCCGCAGGGCAGCCGAGCACGGTCTTAAATGGACCAAATGCCCGGCAGTCAGAAATCTCCACGCAATAGGCATTGAAAGGCTCTTTCAAACAGGTATTTGTTTAGAAATGCCAAACGATTCAACAAAAATTATTTTGGTTTTCTTAATGGACGAATTTTCAGAGCTTGTGCACACAGCCGCCAGTTGTACACATTTCTGATCTAGCGATTTTTTGGTATCTGCAAGCCTGGAAAATTAGTTCACTTACAACCCGAAATAGTTTTTAGAAGTGCTTCACATATCTTAACAAGCATCAAACATTATTGAGAGGTTTGTATGAGGTATTCTGGGGTAATTCGGTGAATATTTCTGATGGCCGCGTATATTTAGTCTATTTGAGACCATGCCCATCAGTCAGAAATATGAACTGAATTTTCACAGAATACCTCAGGCGAACCTAATTTTTGTTTACAAAAGTCAAGCGATTCCTAAATTACGATGATCTTTTAGCGAATGAACTTATCGAACTTGTGCCTACCATAAAACAGTGATATCGATATGATATCGAAGTGTCGAAAGCTAGCGATTCTTACGGTACACATTGACAAGCTCTTAAAATTCGTAATTTTCGGCATCGCGCAACATTCCTAAACATACATCTAATGATCTTAAGAAGTGTGAAAGAACCTCTAAGGGAACATTGTATTAAAGTGGTTGACTGCTATGCATTTAGTCCATTTAGATCGTGCCCGTGCCGGGAATTTTGGCTTTGTTATTATTTTTTTTTAATCACCTTCTGATCACATTCATCGTAACCAGGTATACATCTGAGGACATTTCGTTAATTACAGTTCATTCAACCGTCAATTCGATCACACCGCTCGTGACAGTGGAGCTGTTGACCAATAGCGGTGCATATAAATGTCAAAGCACTGTTGGCAAACTTATTTGTATGACAGTTTAGCGGTGAGTTCTCGATGCAAGAGAAGGAAAATCGATTGGAGATTGCCCATAGTTATTTTCAAATTTCGAATGTGGTAACTGGGTTTCTATGGCAGGTTCTGTTCGTATTTCACAGATTTATCGCTTAATACCAGTATTTCTCGCACTTTGGTTGTGGTGCGTTTTTGTCTCAGCGCCTGAAAGGACAAAAAGTAAGAGCCAAGAGTCTGTTTCGTAGTTATTTAATCCTAATGTGTATACTCTAAACCCAGGCCAGTACAGGGCGTTTTGCTTGTGAGGATCTTTCCGTCAGGAATTTCTTTTGTTATTTGAGGCGAATTCGCTCATTTTACGTCCAGGGACAAATTATTTCAAGGTCTCTATTTCTTCATTACTTTAAGCCGCTCATGAAGCTGAAAACAGGAAAAACAACTTAGGGTGCCTAATGTTACGTACTGGCGCGACCCTTGAGGTTATACCACCTCCAGTACTACCGAAATCTTTAAGATCTTCAAACTTTTCTTTTCTTTATTTTGGTTATAAAAATTTGTTGTTACAGACATTTACGATCATGTGTGGAACCGGTTTTGGATTTGAAATGTTGAAATGTTTCATCAGTTTTTGTGGAAAGGAAAGAGATAAAAAAAGAAAATTCATGCTTGTAAGGAAGGCTCTGTGTACGCGTTTGTTTAGCTGATTCGTATTTTTGATAGCTGCTTGTGTATGGGTAATGGCTGGTTTGGAAAAACAATATAGTTCATGGCCATGTAGGTTAGCACTGGTACTGTTTTCATCTTTACCATTTGTTTTCACTCTTCCAACCTAAATTCCCATCAATTTTAGTTTCTTGCTTGCAGCTATATGAAGCTTTATTTAAACGAATCTTTGGTTTCCGGAACCATGTCTCTATTAGAGAAGGGGATGATTAAAAATTTATTTTTCTTTGATTTTAGCGGAATAAAGCCACTCAGACAGAACGTTTAAAAAAGTATTTAGTTTTATGAATGGTTTCTTTTAAATTGCGAGCCTTTTCTCTCATTTTCATGTAAAAATTAGTAAGTATAGAATTGAATGTTTGTTGAATGCTTCAAATAATGAGAAAGATTGCGTTGGTCTTTGATCTACCTCTTTTCAAAGTGTAGAATTATATTGGCTGCGTGAAAAAGGGAAATTTTGAAAAAAAAAAAAGGTTCTGAGGATGATTTTATTGCTTCAAACAAAGTGAATAATGAAAGATTCATCAAATTTTTAGGACAAATTATGCAAGTTGAAGGTAGAGAAAATAACTCTATTGTCCTTTTCTGACAGTTTTATGATTTAGATGACTCTCTCTCACCACTTTCATGTACACAAAACGTGAAACTATTGTATAGGATATCTTTGAGATCAGGTTCTTTAATATATCAGTTGTCGAATCGAATTTTGTATATTGATTCCCGTCAGAGGTAGAGGAAATATGTTGTCAGAATCAATGTGTGCATTTTATTCATGTTGCATCCACTATAAAATAACGCTTTAGAATTATCTCTTTGAGTGAAAGCTTAATGGTACTACTGATTTTTCAATTAGATTGATTTTGGTAGGGTTTGATCGGGAAATTGTATACTAACTTTGTGATATAACATTAATGGATATTACAATCACTTATTTTGTTTATTTTTTCAACCTAAGTTTTAGCCTTGATTTTTTAAGAATTTCCAGGATATTCATTTCATATTTATTGTTTTGTGTTTAAGGACTATTTGCAAGAGTGAATCGATGATATCATGAGCTTAATCTTATCATGGCTCTCAGAGATACGTATTCAAACACTGATTACTCTTGCCGTCGGTTTCCACTAGTGATGAACAAGAGCAACAAAGACAAATTGTCCATTGAAACAAATTGTTTTCCTTTTCTACGTTACAACTTGTCGAGTAAGCGTTGACTCTCTAAATATTTCATTAGCATGAATAGAAGCGTATTTTTTGGCGTTCGAGTGCACTATACTCCGAGATGAGTTTGTAGCCGCCATATTGAAATTGTTCAGATCGAGAAAAGCCTGGAGCGAGTGAAAAAAGTGTACCAAGTAGGTAGTAGTGAGAATTTCAAACCAGTGAGGTGAGAGTGGTCGAGCAGAAATCATGACTAGGTAATATTTCTTCCCAACCTCCTCCCCCTCATTGTTTTCTTCGCTTCAGATTTCACTTATGTTGCCAATCCAATATGGAGGCATATAGACTCAATCTTACTTAACCTGCTTACAACTTCGCTCGCCAGAAAATTCGGTTACCATGCTGACTAACATTTTTAGTCGGAAGTTGTAGTTGGTTTGAAATGAGTTTAAGCTGAATTATTTTCAGGAAAGTGGGGAGAGTGGGGAACTTGTTCACCCACGTGCGGAATTGGTCAGAGATCACGTGAAAGGTGTCAAAAGAAAACGACAAAAAAATGTCCACCGCATAAAAAGACAACACAGACTAAACAATGCGGCTCAGTTTCGTGTGCCTTGACCTCTGTCAGTTTACAAGGTAATTAATCAGTCGATATTTAAAATAGCGTAAAATCAAATGAATTATGTATAAGGTAGTAATACTGTTCAGTCACTTTAAAGTATGATTTAAGATTAAGATTTATTTCGTCGCCGTGTAAAAGACGTCTACTGTTATAACATTGTAAACAACCACTTCATAATCTTCATCAGTAGTGTTAATCTCGTCTCCGGACAAATTTTCACTCTTTTAAAAAGCTTTTCCTAGTACATTTTACTTAACTGTTAAACTAAGGTGGATCTGCCTTGTAATGCGTCGAAAAACATTTCTTGAGGAATTTTTTTTCAGTGATTGCTTCAACTTTAAATTTATTTTTAACATGTCAGTTAATCTTTTATGTTTTAGTGTGGTCTTCACGCGAGAATAAGAGACCACTTTCCCTTGGAACAACTTCATCGAAAGTTGTTATGACGTCACGCTATGATTTGATGACGCCAGATAGAGCAATGACCTCCAGACATCTTGCTATCACGTCCTCAGTGCTTATGATGACGTCAGCCTCTGTGCCTGGAGTTACCATGTTGTCAACCCAAATTAATAAGGTTTTGTGGACATCTTCCCCTTTTCTGATGCTTCCAAGAACCAGTGTTACAAGTAAATTTCAGACTTTTAGAATGATTTTTGTAGATGCCTTAATTGAACTTAAAAGGTTTCGTCGAAACCATTTCTGCGTTGTAAAATACATGAGCGAGTAAAGTTTTATCATCATCATTATTATTGTTATTGTTATTTTTATTAAGAAATATTTCTATTGTTATTATATGATTACAATATGATGCATTCTTCTAATCGACGAAGAAGTCAAAACGGGGAGACTGGAATGCTGGGATCTAATGTTATTAATAATGGTAATAGGACCGAGTGGAGTCCAACTCTGTCTGTAATCATACGAGTGATTGACAAAATTGGACGACCGGGAAGCGGGAGTCCGATTTGTTAATCACGAGTATGATTACAGACAGAATTGGACACGAAGCCCTGTTACCAATTAATCAAAACTATAACAATTTTTGAGAAAGAAACTAGACATCGGTTCTACGTTTTCATTAAAAAAAACAACTGTTAACTCGGGGAAATGCGAGACAACGGTGCGCGCATATGACGCGTTCTGTCCTCTTTAACTGTCCTATTACACTGTCCAATTACAAGCATGGCGCATACAATGTCCAATTAGTTCTCAAATCTGGCTGGTGATACACAATCACGTTCGAGAATTGTGTTATAGTTTTGATTACATTAAAAACAAAACAATGAAAGGATAAACTCAAATTGTTTATCGTTCACTTATGCATTTTATTACCAGAAACTACTCCCGGGAATGAAGTTCTAAGTAAAACCGAACCCTCACCAACCTCCTCATTGCATTTACCTGAAATTTCTACATCAATGGCTGTGATGTTATCGTCATCTAGTATGACGTCACCGTTATTGGTGTCATCCTCAACTATACTTGAATCACCTGCATTAGTAATAGCGTCAAGTCCTGTATCAAAGACTGCAGACCGTAAGTCTCCAAAGAAGACTAACCAAGGCCCAATGGAATCTCCATCTAGTCTTCACGCCTACTTCAAAACTGTAAGGAAAGACTGGATCTTACTCAATCATCAGATTAAGAGACTGTGGACGTCAAGCGAGATCTCGTGCGCCATGGTGTGCATGAGACATCAGAACTGTCAATCATTCAATTTTAAGTGCTCGGAAAAGTATTCTGACCAGCTAAAGGATGTGGATACTAAACAGGGTCATAACTGCCAGCTAAACTCAGCAAAACACTCCACCAGTCCGGGAGACTTCGTTTCAAAGAAAGGATATTGTTACTTCTACCTGTGAAAGTGATGAGGATGCCTGTGCGCTGCTGTTGCCATCCCGCGTCATGATGTCATGATGCTGTCACGCAAAACATACCCGTTATGTTAAACTTTAATGCTCCATAAATTGACATACTAGCACGTGTTCCAATTCGACTTATTGTGTGGACACTTCATCTTGTTATTCCCCTTTATTTTTGATGATTTACCTCTATTGTGTTCCCCCGCAAGAGAATAAAGCGTCAGCAAAAGTTTAAAAGTCTTTTTTTTTTTATTATTACTTAGAATGATCAAAAGTAGTAGAAGATAAAAGTTAGGTATTAAAAAATGGCTTTTAGAAAGTAGTGTGGATTGTTTGCTGGAATTTCTGGTGTCGTACAAGAAATCGTCTATGTTTGTAATTTAACGTAGAGCTTTATTTGTGCGGAAGCTCTCGCAAATGGGCTACAGAAAATAATAATAATAAAAGATTTTGCGCACTTGTGTTAAATGTTTGGCTCTCGTTAAATGGAGCATTCTTTATAGAACAATTTTCCCTTCTGACATAGATATAAAAGAGGAGGTGATTGGCAGCCTGCAGAGCATGTGTAATTTCGGCATTTAACTAGTATTTTTAAAATTTCCGATTACAGTAAGTAAAATTGGAATAAGGCTCATAGCGTACATGATATTAAGAACGAAGTTTTTCAGAAGTACTTCAGATAGCTCTAGGAAAGTAATTTTGAAAGTACCCCGTGACGTTATCGCCCATCACCTTGACAATGCGCGCTTGTAGATGCATTTTTAAGTTCGAACATTCCGTTTTCTGTTCCATAGTTTGTTCTTTACGCGTGCGTAGCGAAAGGAAGGAATGCTCTATGACAAGTTGAACTGATGCGTAACTCAGTGGGAGAAATTGAACGTGACAAAATTACTCCAAAACCTGCCACTCGGCGAAAGAAGATCACGTTGGTCAGACCCGTGTAGTAAATTTTTATTAAAGATTATTTTCTTGCGCATTGTTGTATTTTTTACTTCCCAATAAACCTGACGGACCCGTTTAAGATGGCTCATAATGGTTGTAAAAATCTGTAGATATGGTTCAGAGCCACTTTAAGTGACCAGAAAGATTAGATAGCTCTGAACTGTTTATGAAAATTTTTCTAAATCTGGCAGATCTGCCAATTGCAGTTTATTGGTAAATATGGAGGTCATCGACTTTGTTTTTGAGTTTCAGGCACAAAAAGCAATCAAAAAAGGAATCGTCAAAGAGGCCGAAGTCAGGGTTTCTATGGTGACCTTAATTGAAAGAAAAATATTACAATTTTCTGAGAAATAGTTGGGCAATTATATCCTGAGTAAGTCTTCATGTGTTAAAAGATGTAAGGAAAATAATGGAAATTCTCGCTTCATGACAGGAGCCCCTTCCTCGAAGGTCCGAAAAACCTTACGTGTTTCCGCGCAGTATTCCCGCATTTTCGCGTTTTGTTGTTCGATAAACGTGCGCGTTCCTTCGTTGGGGAGGAGAGCTGGGACAAAGACTGCTTCACTCCAACATGGCGGGACATGGCGGTAGATTTTGCGAGAACTGCAAGGAAATGACAGCTTGCTTTGGCACAAGGCCCGGAACTAAAGAGCCCCTCGGCTTCTCAGCACATTTCCTTTGCTTAGTGATATAGGATAGAGGAAGACAATTCGTAAAACAGAGAGATTTCCCTAGTGCATGCCAGATGTCAACTTGGTAGCAAGCGGTAGGTAAAGAAATCTTAAACGAACAACAATTTTTTGAAATTTATAATATCTGTGTTACATTTAAATATTATTGACTTAGTAGGCATAAAATGGGTGAATAATTCTGATATTTTGTGAATGAGTATTGCTGCAAATTTGAATATTTAAATCTGGATACCTTTGGACACGTGGTGTTGTTGTTATTATAGGAGCTCTTTCAGGCGTAAAAGTCAGTGTAGTTTTTTTTGCATGGGGCAGAAACTCATTCGGTAGATCCTTCAGTGGATCCTTCAGGTTTTTGTCGCGCAATGTCTCCTCCCTTGGTAATCCCTTTTATCTCTTCAATTTTTATACCTTCTAATGTCCTGGTACAAGATCAAATCAAATATTGGTTTACATCCAACTTCACACTTCTGTCTCAACTTACTGAAAAAATGGCAGCTTTACAATTGTCTGAACATAAATATAATAACTTGTTTTGGTGAGATCTTCCATCAGAGAGTATAATTATGCAATTTTAGATATTGATAGGAATAAGACAGTTATTGTAAACGCTGGCAGACAAGCTGCACTCAAAGATGAGGGTACCCAAAGTTTGGGCCACTCAAATTTTAGAAAAGAAGCTTTTGAAAGAAATCAAAAGAAATTACAAGTGCAGTCTTGAGAAATTTGTTGTATATTGGTTGCTTTATCAAAGTTACACCCACGTAACCTCACTAAAACTGAAAATGGATACTTTTAATCCTTAGCTGTAATTTTAGCTGTAATAGTATGGACATCTTATCCACTGATTCGACTTAAATTTGATCTTAACTGTGGTATTGTTCAAAGACTTACTTGTCATTTAAACAATTTTTACTTGCTACTCATTGCTTTGCTTCAGTGCATTAGAAAAAACTGCACTGTGTGCCTTGCTAATAAATAGTTTAAGGCTCTGCACACTAGTCTAATTTTTAAGCACTTACACTGGCTCCCTGTAGAGCAGCAAATTTAATTATCAAAGTTTCTTTCTTACCCACAAGGGATTGAATTATCTTGCACTTGCTCATATTAGTCATCTATTGGTCCCTCCCATGCCTTCTAGAAGTATCTTCTAAAATTTCAGAAGACAAACTTGAAAACCAAGGGTAACAGGGCTTTCTCAGTTGCTGCAACTAGAATATGGAATAATTTACCTTTAGATATTTTCAATAGTCCATCAGTCAGTGCATTCAAATCATTTTTACAGTGTTGTGTGTGGAAATACTCATCTCTTGTTTTAGCACCACATTTATGGGTGGAAAGTGTTACATTATCAGTTATTTTATAAAAAGGGATACAGATACAAGTACATGAAATTGATTACATGATTGGTGATTAATTATATGATTAATTAGTCATATGTTAAATTATTATGATTATGATTGGCTGATTTTCTGTTAAACCCATTTTTTTGTGAGTTGTCTTAGCTGTAGTGGCTTTGCATTCCATACAATCAGGTTCATTTGGTGCAGAGGATGTTTATTGCTGAGAGGATTGTATTATAGGAGTGAGAGTGGTAGATGTGTGTTAAAAAGTTTTGAATACCATTACTAGTGTTGATTTTCTGGCTGACTGACTGACTGGCTGACTGTTTGACTGACTGACTGACCAACTGATAAGTGACTGCTAACTGGCTGAGTGGCTAGCTAGCTGATCATACTGATTGACTGAATGACTTGCTGACTGACTGACTTACAAATTGTCTATCTGACTGACTGAGTGATTGACTGGCTGACTGGCTGACTGGCTGACTGACAGACTGACTTACTGACTGACTGATCACCTGACTGACTGACTGGCTGACAGACTGGCTGGCTGATTGACTGCTGGCTGGCTGACAGCCTAATTGACTGACTTACAAATTGTGTGTCTGCCTGACTGACTGAAAAAAAAGAGAATTTTATGTCATACAGTTGAGACAACGCTTTACCATTGAAGACTTACAGCAGGTTATTTAATCAACGTTTAGCCGTTCTTTAACAAAACCGCGTTTTAAACTATCTTGACGGGCGACTTGACCGTAAAACCTTGAATTTAGCTCAATCTTTTATCTGAAAATTTATTTTTGTAATTCCTCAATTTACGACAATTACGAGAGTGATATGAAAAATAAATAAATAAGCAATAGAAACGAATAAACACAAAAGACACGATACTATTTAAACTACGGGTAAATTATGCGGATTTCAAGTTCGCGTTATGTCATCAATAGAGTTATTTGCACGGAGTATTTTAATTGCACGGAATATTTCAATTACAGTATACAACAGTGTGTTCGTAGTAAGCGACATTAATTTAAAAACTTTCGGTATCACGAAATAAATTTGTGTGTATATTGGGTTACAACTTTTAAGGTGGGGCTGGGATTTGAATAGATGGATTATTGATAGGATTGGATAATTAAGCGAGGCACCGAGATAGAAGGCAAGTAAGCTGCCTTACGGGGAAATTAAGTCTTTTGAAGACAATCGTTTGCCATCTTGACGCATAGATTTCGTATACTTGAATTTTTACCATACGAATCGTACAGTTGAGCAGTTTTGTGTTCCTATTCGCTCTTTAGAGTAGAACGTGTTTTAAAGGCCTGTAGAAGTGTAGCAACTAATAACATTTAAGGCTTTCCTTTACTTGCTTGGCTATTTGAAAATTTTATCTCGACTTGGTGACACAATGCCTAGACAATTTTGTAGTGTTCGTGTTATATTATTACTCTTTTTTGGACCAGAATAATCAGCTAGAATTTTCGGTCGGAATCGAATTCTCTCTTCTTTAGAAGAATGTTGGGGAAATTGGACAGGGTAGTGACATGGAGGTTACTTTTGCGGTGAAATGGAGTTTACTTTGCCTCAACTTTTATCTTCTCGTTTAAGTTTTTCTCTTTAGATGTGTAGTACTTAGTAATTTACATACAGCAATTACATGCAGCAATCTGGCAGACGTTTACAACCGCAAATAGGTTTTGCTCAAAATGTCTTTTCAGTGTAGACAATGGTTTACTTGAAGAATAGTTAATGATGTCGACCAGGATTGACGATTACAAGATGATATGTTGATATACTGATTACAGGTTAGAAATCTCTACATCTCATGGATCCATGGTTATATTTTACAGAAACCAATTTAGACGTTGAGTTTGACAATGAGATGCTATCCCCTTAGTTTTGATCGTTCATCATTCTCACTTCTGGAAACTACTTGTATAAGCAGTCTTTCGGTCAGATCTTTGCAATAAGAAAATCACATTAGGACATTAGAAAGTTGATCCTATCGTTGAGGGCAAACTAAAATTGAACTGCATAAAAATCCAAAATAATTGCAAGGTTTGGCTTTAGTGAACTTCTTGAAATCTTAGCATTCGCGGTTTTCGCTTCTATCAAACCAAAATTATAGAGCACATGCTATTTTCTGCTATTGTTGTTATTTCCTCAACATGTAATTCAAGCAATTACAAAGTCAACCACTGTCTCTTTTAGCGTTAAAAAAGGAATGAAATGAAATCGAATCAATCA